AACATAAATATTGCTCTAAAAAACATGTTTAGTAAGTTCCAAAAACGTCGGTTGTGACAAAACTGATTTGTGCAAATTTCAAAATAATATTTCTCCTAAAAATCAATAATTATAATTATAGCGCCCCCAACGGTGACTCCACTAACAAAAACATATTGTAATTGTTGTCATTGTGTCACGACAAACTTGTTTCCCAAATTTTATGACATTTGGCCAAAGAAAACGGAAAAACCGGGAAAAAAAACTATTTTTGACCAAAAATGGGAAAAATGTCCCCAAAAAACGCCCTCTATGGACGATATTTTGAAAAAAAAATGGCAACCTGTAGGATTTGGTCGAAGGTTAATTTCTACCAAGGTTTAAAAAAATCGGTCCAAAAAAGCCCGGTCCTGATAGGGTTAAAGAAGTAAAATAGCAATTTGACTAAAATATCAAAATAAATGATTGTAAATGCGTATTTTATTTTAATTATAGATTTTAGCAACATGCATTCGAACATCAATTACCTGAGCATCTCGTATGTGTGTGACCCTAACATGGCGTCGTAACAGCGCCCCCATTTATTCAAAATATGGTTCTATTGTTCTGCAGGTCAGGATACCCACCGCCATCTTACTCGAGTGTTTTATCGCTGTGCCTCAGCCGCAGTTGTCATGTTTGATCTCACCTCACGAGCCTCGTTTGACCTCGTGGAGAAATGGAAGAAGGATTTGGACTCTAAGGTGACCCTGGCAGACGGCAGCCCTATTCCCTCATTACTCCTGGGCAACAAGGTACGAAGGTTCACGATACCATTCGTTGCGCCTTAAGATACGAGTCGTTTATCAGTTTGCTGGACTGGGTTCACAGACGGATCCGGAAGGGGCAATTGGTGCAACCCACCCCCCCCCCCTCAAAAAATGTCTGTTATTAAACCAGAGAACGAGACGTCTGTTTCAAATCGATGCCGTAGTCTATATAGGCCTACTCATCCTCTAATTTCCAGTGCATATTCTATGAAAATAGAAGAGCGCCAAATTAGATCCACTTTGCATCCCTGCGATAGCTTTACGCTGCATGCAAACAGCGTACATTTTGTAAAAAGGTAGGTTGTAAAAACAGGATACAACTGTACTGTTTTGCATTGACCTCTGCAGTCAGATTTACAGCAATGCGTTGTTGATGACGAAGAAATCACATGGATGACCCGGAACCAGAACTTTGTTGGCTGGAGTAAGATATCAGTCAAAGACTACTTGAACATCGAAGAGCCTATGCTGTGAGTATATACAAGAAGCTCAAACATTCCCGAGAAGAGAGGTAGGATAATGTCTCTTAACCCCTTGCTTCAAAGGGGATGTAGGCCTATCTAGATGTTTGACGTCCACATACACATCCTGATATCGTTTCAATTGATCAAATGAAATTTTTTTTGAAAAAAAATTGGGGTGCAAAATCTGGTCAACAAACGAATCAAAGCGCCACCTTGTGCTAGATTGTGTAAAGCCGTCCTCAATTGTTTTACTTCTGCAGGCTATTACAGTCACGTATGTGTGAAATATATCACGTGAAAAGCGGTGGAAAACGTTACAGCAAAAGGGTGTAACTTCGATTTCGATCTTTTTGAGATAAAGTCATTTTTTGGGATGATTGGGGGCGCTGTTTACATTTAACGGACCCTCAAGTCCGCACGCAGCCTTCCGTTTCAAAGATAGCAGCAGGGTGTATCGTGTGCAAAAAATGTGCTTGCATGTTTGACTAAGTTTCTTTGACGACAAGGTGTATATTGAGATACACTCTGTTTTGTGTTAGATGTGACCAGGTTTGACAAGGCAAAAGGGCGTAACTACAAAATAAAAAGATTCACCTAGCAATAATAGTGCATTTTGATATGGTTTTCTCACGATACACTCTTTTACCAAAATAATTCTTCTATGTTTGTGATATTTCATGGTAATAAGGGTGTAACTGGTTTCAAATTGCCTCTATCCAAAACTCAGTAAAGACAAGAAACTGACATTTCTACTGTGTAGGCCTATTTACAAGTTAATCACAACCTGTGGTAGTAAATTGACCTTGAAATTTGAAACTGATTTTCTCGAATTGAGCTTTTTCAAGATACACCCTTTTGCCTTCACAGGGCCATGCAGCACAACTGTGTCCTGCTACACTATTTTCCCCCCAAAGTTAATTTTCTTTCATTAAATTAATCAAGTCCTACTGATCAGTGAAATAAATTTCACCTTTTATCTGATTCATGGCGCCGGATGAAATGTTTAAATGGAAGTATAAGTCCAAAAACCGTCGACTGACGCATGCATTAATTATTATGGTCATTAACTTCACCATTAACAGCGCTCTCTATTGTCAGAGAGTGGTCATCTGACAATTTATCTGCATGTTTCTAATTGTCACAAGCACGCAAGCTTGATGTAGCCTGAGAAAAAAGAACATTGTCGTTTCAGGTTTCTGGTCGACGAAATCCTTGCTCGATGGAAGCCCACACCTGTCGTGCTGATCAAGGACGGCAGACGAGCTGGATCGCACCCGACAGGAATCGACACCCAGGAGTTTTCCGACAGTTTTGAACTGTCTCAAGAACAATATGAGCAAAAATCAAACCCATGTTTCTGCTTCTTTTAGATTTGTTCGATACTGGCTTTATGGCAGCAGCGTATAGCTATACGGGGGGCAGATGCATCAAGGTTCGACTATAAAGTTCGGCATTTTGGGCAACTGCCGTGCTGTAGACGAGCTGTTACCGAACTCAATTCAATTACGTTCGGCTCAGCAGTAACACGGCGTCTATAAAAAGGGCCTAATTCGATTGAGATTCATCGATTATCGATCACAGATAAAAAGAGTAACAGACTTGTGTCAAGGCTGGAGACACAACCGTGTGCAATATTCATGCAATCAACAGCAGTGTGTATCATGTACTTCACAACAGGTTGCTAGCATTATTTCCGTTAAGCACAAGTCTGCCATATCTATGCATCCGATATTGCCATGATATTACTCAACTTATCCTTGACAATTGTTCATACTATATTTGCAGTAGGCCTGCTAGACAAAAAGGCGCCACCATTTATGTTGTTGTCCTTGAGTTGACACTATAACGTTCATGACAGCAAACGTGCCTTCCTGTCCAAAAAACAAAAGAACGAAGCAACAACAAGCCTATCCTGTAACAAGGTAGATCATGTGGCAATAACTCATCATGAACTACACTGGGTAAACAAAGGACTCATCATGAACTACACTGGGTAAATAAAGGACGGACTTCCGCTCAATAACTACACATCGTCACGTATGATTCCTTGTTAAACAGCAGCAAACTAACTCCAATTCAAAATATTAAAAAAAAACTGCTGAAATTTAGGTAGGTGGATATTTTACATCTCTTCGTCTGAAAATGATAAAAATTATTCGGGATACATGATTTTCTCAATGTTGCAATTTTCGTTTTATTATTGTATCATTATTAAAATGTAGCAAACATTGTTTACATTACGATGTTCCGCTATAGATTGCAAATACAATACTATTTCAAAATTAATAGACAACATCTCGAAAGAATTAGGCCCACCCACGGGATACGTGAAGTAAACCCCCATGATACTGTGTGTCACCAACAACACAGTACATGACTTGTCATTAAAAAAAAAGTGGTCAACAGACATTATTTGGGTGTGCAAGGGTCGGCAGGAAACATGACTTTACAGCATCACATGATTATGACACAGTTTAAACAATCAAACGTAGCGAAAAAACATGTGCTACAACACAAAACAATCAACTATACATTGCGCAATTCGTTCCCGTAAACAGAGTTGGTAAAGAGATTCGAATTTGCATAACACAGTCAAAACTTGGTGTCATTTCTAATTATAAACTCTTCTCTTGTTCTGTCCCTATATTTGTGTCAGCAATATATAAGTTGGTGTACTCATATATGCTGAGCATGATGGTCTAAGATGAAAAGATTTGGTTAATTTTATAATTTTGCTTATCCTTGAAATCGAAACCAATATTATAACTAGTATAGCAGACAATTGTTAATGTTACTGCCACAGTTTTGTATATACCTGCTTCCTTTGTCTATTTATAAAACAAAATTCACGTTTGTAAAAACCAGAATAATTATTTTATTGTCTATCTTCCTGGTATCATAACAATGTTTGCACTTATACAATATGAAGCAATAAAATTACTCAGTATGCAATAGAGCGATGCGTTGCGGTTTCAAGATATTCCTTAAATATTATTCACAGTTTCATTTCATGCATGGTTTACATTTCTTTGGTAAATTATTTTAGTAACAAATCTTCCAGCTTCTTTTGGAGATTGAGAACTTTTACAAATAATTCAAAATTGCAGTCAATGCGGAACACTCAAACTTTTCTCAACGTATATCTGCGCATTAAAGATGGAAAACTGCATGGTCACATAATGCCATCTCAACCACAATATCAAAACAGATAAGGCGTGGAGGAGCATTAATTGACACTGTTATGAATCCTTAATCACCACGTTATCAGCAAACTGCCTGCTTTTGAAACAAGGAAGTATTGTTCAAGTAATAATTAGAATACATTATGTACAAAAACTGTAGTTTATATATTGATAATCATATAGGCCTGAACATAATCCGCTCAACTTCGCTTGTTCTTATTTGCTGTACCAGTTTATAGTCATAGTTTAGACAAGGGCGGATCCAGAACACAATTTTGGGGGGGGCCAAAAAAATTGTTGGTCCCCCCAAAAAAAGTGGGTCTAAAAAATTACGGGGTGGGGTTCGGGGCCCGTGAGGGCCCCGAAAAATTTTTGGATTCTAGATGCTCTGTGGTGCGATCTGAGGCAATTTCTGACCACTTTAACCAATTTTTTTGAGGAAAAGATGGTGGTGTACTCATTGCCTGCCTTTATTGCGATGTCACATTAAAAAAAAAAAAATTGGTTTCGTTTTGGGGGGGGGGCCATGGCCCCCTTGGCCCCCCCTGGATCCGCCCTTGAGTTTAGAAAGAGTAGCGGTTGTGAGACAATCGTTATTTCGCAGCTATTTGTTTTGGCCAGGAAAGTCGAGTCATCGTCAGTTTGAACCTATCACAAGTCTATTGCGCAATACGCGGTATCCTTTGTTTTTGTAAGGCCCCGTTGCAGCTGAACTAGTCTGTCAATATTGAGCCTCACTGTGTCCGACGGTTGATATTACTCATGACTCGTCGTCCAAAGGTACGAACAACGGAGCCATTTATAACTTCAACTATCAAGGGTTGACTTGAACAGAATGAAGTCCTCGTGCATTGAAATAAGGCGCAGTTTAATATCAGTGGACACTCGTGTTTCGTTGAGTAGACGTACTTTATCCAGGGTTCTTATTTATGAACAAAACAGAGAAAGTAGGAAATTGCTTCTCTTTTTCTTTCTTAGCGACCACAACCGTAATCTAGTCATCACGGTACACTTATGAATTTAAATGAATTAGACGAAGGCACTTTCCCACCAGTGTGTATTCCCATTCACTGTGACAAGACTTGTGTTTTGACTTGTCGTCGTCTTAATTGCCTTCATTTATTTCCAAGGCCTTTCAGCTTTTGTACACTTTTCCATTATATAGGTAATAACCCTATATAAAATATTCGATGTATACGAAATTTGTAGTATTTATTGTTCCATTTCTGGAGAGAAAATTAATAAGTGATTTCAGGGAGCCCTTATTATAGGATCTCTTTGAAACCTGATGACTAAAACGTATTCAACAATACTCACTAGTTCTAAGGAAAATGTAGCCGTACAGTTTTGATAACATTATGCCAGTGAAGGAAGAAGCCTTGTTTATATTATTACAGCATTCCGAGAATATTTTCCAAAACTAAGGGAAAATGCTAATTTTTTTATTTATACATGTTTTGGGTGCCAATGGTGCATTCTAATTGACTAAAAATAAACTCACAAATTATGTTGCTAGAAAATAATGTAGGCCTGGATGATATCGTCACCCATACTAAAAGAAAAGTGTACATTTTGGAATTTACAGCAATACAATTTAACTGCAAGTAGTCTATATTAATACATTCTTCTCTTGTCCTCATTTTGGACAAGCAATCCAGCCAGCATAGAAACATCTGGCCAATATTGGGCTCATCTAGGCAAAAACAGGCCAATCGGGGAAGCCAATCCTTGGCAGAATGTGGCCAATATTGGCCCAATCTTACCCAATAATGTTCCACGTACGTTTGCCTCATTGGCCAAAAAAAGTGGGTCCTATATTGGTAACAATGGCATATAGCGGCATAACATTGGCTGAACATTGGCAAGGGCCTGGCAAGCAGAATATCTGCTTTTAAAAGATGGTTGTTGAATCTCACCATCCTAATTCCTAGGCGGTCATACCTGCTGCGATGTTTCGTTAGTACTCTCTAGTACGATCACACCAGGCCCGTGGCCAAGCCTGATGATATCAGAGCTATTAACAGTAGCGACCTCTGCCGCGACAGGCTTCTGCTTCTTGGGGTGAATCCCCCGCGGACAGCCAAACACCTTACGGATACCGCGACGAAAGGGCCTGTTCTTCATGGTATAGATGATGGGGTTGAGACAGGAGTTAGCCACGGCTAGGATCACGGTGAAATGGTAGTAGGCAGCCCCGAAGTCAACGATCTCAGGGTCCGGGCTCAGGTTGAAGACGATGAAGAGGAACTGGTTAGGCGCCCAGCAGATGGCATACGTGATGCTGACAATCAGGAGTGTCTTCTCCAACTCTTGAGCCGCGTGGACCTGCCACATTTTACGGTATTGTGACTTCCGGACCGTCGACACTATAAAAGTGGCGAGAAAGTAGATGAATAAAAGTGGTTAGCGTGAAATTCCAAAGGATCTTCTACAAGAGACCTCACCTTGAGAGATGGAACCGGAAGTTTTCAAAGGACTCGATTAAGACGCTGAGATGTTAGTGTCAACACAGAGACTGCCTTAAGCAATAAACCGAGATTTGGACTTTCCCTTTGGTGAGCCTCTGAGGCAGCAAAAAATGTAAAATGAAAAAATCAAATATTTGATGTTTTGAAAATAAACCACAAAGAGGAAACTGACTATAAGTGCATTATGCAATAACTTTCAAAAACTGAACAAAGAAATTGACAGGATCGAGGCTTGAACCTGCCACCTCCGGATTACCGTCCCGGTGCTCTTACCAACTGAGCTATCCAGCCCTATGTCGGTGGCTCCCCGTGTAGTCAATGTCTATGTTCAAGTGGCGTTAGTCAGAAGCCATGTTCAACTTTTAAAAGTTTTACGTTTGAAGTACCCTCGAGGTAAATTAATGATTGCTCTAAACATGAATTTTAAAGGTAAGTTTAAAATTAAGATGCGAATGTATGACGTCCCAGCAAGTATTTAAATATACTCAGAGTTAAGCTGCAAATTCGCAAAAGTTGCAAACCTTTTTGTCATTTTTTTCCGCAAATGTATGGTGACGTCACTTCCATTTCACATTCGATTCTGATTGAAACATAGACCAGAATTTAGCCGGATTGTTCATGGGAGGATACCAGTGTCATGCATCACGTATTTTTCACCGACCATTAATCTTCCCGAAGTACTCCGCCTGGGAAAATAATTCACTTCCCTCGGTCGTCCGCAATCAGTTCACCATACACACACACCTGAACCACAGCTGACATAACTACAAAGTTTGATGTTACAGTATCCAAACAGGATAGGACTGGCGTAGGTAACTCATATTGCGGAAACGGCTTTGGAACGTAACAAAGGCTGAATGATCGCTATGAATGCTATGACGTACTTATAATCATAATGCCACGCAGGTATTGTTCACGCTGGGGGGGGGGGGGGGGAATGGACACCACATTGCACTAGGTGACAATAATTATATCCTACGGCGTACATCAACACGGCGCATTTTAAAAGCTTTTGTCATTATCTTTCCACTTTTCAGTGCTATTGAATACATTTGGATTGTTGGGATGTTCGAAAAATACCTCGAAATCCGCATTAATTTTTTCCTCATCACGAAAAAGTGGGGGATGATTCAAAGCCCAGCCCTGGTCTAAAAGTGTGTGTGGGGGAATATTACGCCCGGGGAACTCATATTGACCTATCGCCGTTTGCGAGTTAGCCACGCCCCTCAGACAACCCTGTGGAATTGTGTACGATAACTTTTGTTTGTCTCAGATTTTGCGCGTTCGCGTCCATAATATATGGTGTAATTGGATAATTTTTCTCAAGCTTTGTTGACGCGATTCTACCGCGATATGTTAATTGGGGAACATAGGTATTGGGGAACATCGAGTAGACCCCGTTCTATGATACCTCGACGCCGCGCCGTGTTGCTAGGCATTTCTTCAACGTTATCGAAACTAGAACCACTAAATAACCCTTTATTTAGTTTCAATGATATACTCTGCAAACAAATACATCGTTGCTAATTGTTGACTGGCTACTACTTGGCAAAGATGTCAACTCAACATTAATGTCATTATATGGACGTATCGTGTGCATTTGATCAGGGCACACATTACTGTTTTGGCTGCAGATGAGGTGTAAATGTCGTAAAGAAAATACTTTTGTTTAGGTCAGGAAATTTGTGTCGGGCCTTTCAACTTGCAGCATGTGGCAGAATTGTGACAACAGTCTACTTTGCAGTCCCTACACATCCGGTGGAAAGGCTGGCCTCGGGTTTCCCTGAGTTCATGTCATCTTTACAAACCAAAAAACCAAAGCAACTTCTAACGATAAAGGAAGATTGGGAAGTGTATCCGTGTGGCTTTGTAAACACGACGTGCGCAATCGCGACTGCTTAATACGGAAGAGTATAGGGAAATCATTATTATCATAATACACAGACATGAGTTCGCAAAGTGCAAAGTTCTTCGCTCTTTGTATTTTTTATCTTTTGTCATAATTAAAATAATAAATGTTCTGGTTATCAAAAATTTACCATTCTGTAGGTTTGCCAGACTGTTACTTTAAGAAAAAAAAACTTAAAGCTCAGTGGTTAGTATCACATCATAATTAATGAGGTTTCATTGACTGAACCGCAAATAAGGAAATGAAATTTGATATTCTCTGTCGGCAATCTGTACGTGTCAGATGGCACTCATAAGGTCGAGCAATACCCTGACCTAACCGACCATTTACCAGGGCAGCGTGCAGTTTCATTTCTTGGGTTAGTGAACTCGACTTTCCGACACCAAACTTCATCACGATTACATAAATGCAGTGTTAAATAATTATTGTTTTAGGGATGGTCATGGTTCTGCATACAACGTTTAATGCACAAATGAAGATGTATATACGTTTTGTAGCTCAATTTGTGTCTGTGAACATGAAATGCAATTAATACAAAAATAATACATTTCATACAGAATCTTCTTTGAAGACTTGGGTAAAACATTCAATTTCGAGACAATTGCCAAAACAGCCAAGATGGGCAATTTAGTAGTACATGCACTGTACTCCTCTATGTGTCGTAATGAAATACACCACCGCCGAGCACAACACATGTCCTCAATCGTTTCGTGGGCACAAGTGAAAGGCCAGTATACATTTTTTTAATTCAAAACTAGCAGAATGAGACCTCGGGTTGATGAAGCATTCTTACCTGTTCGTTCTCGTTTCTCCTTTAGCATCTTAGCCTGGTCCCTGAGCGTCTTGATAACTCTCCATTGAGTTATAACCATGAAGATGAAGGGTGCTAGGTAATAGGAAATGAAGTTCCAGAGACCCAACACCACCTGAAACCCTTTGGTAGGCCAGCCGAAGAAGACACAGTGACCGTCTTCGTTGTTGCCGTAGACGTAGAACGTGTAGGAGTTGGAGATGATTCCTATGGCCCAGCAGGCAGCGATCATTAGGGCTGTGTTTCTAGGTGTGTAGATGTTCTTGTATTTGATGGGATAGACGATTGCGATGTAGCGCTCTAGGTTAACAGTGACCAGGCTACAGATGGAGACCAAGGCACAGGTCCACAGGGGAAACTTGGAGGAGTACAAGCGACACTTGATGTCGCCCCCTACCCCCGGGCTGGGGTCGGGCACGTGGGGGAACAGGTGAAACGGCACCGCCCAGATGCATAGTATCAGATCCACCAGTGACAGGTGCACGAGGAAATTACTGGTGTGTGAGCGGAGACTGGGGACTCGAAGCAGCACCAGGCAGACTACAAAGTTACCTGTGATACCCAGCACTGCTATAATACCGTAGATTGCTCGCACCACCATGCTGTTTTCGATTTCACTGATCCCCCAACCGGGGTTCAGTTCATCCCCCACGTCGTTTGTCGTGTTCAAGGGTGCCATAGTGGTAGCCATTTTTGCGATGGTAATCGAATTGATCGAGGAAGATTCAAATAATCTAATAATACGGTCAACGTAAACACAATTTGTGGATCGTCAGAGAAGGAGCTTTCCTTTCAGAATCAAAGTCCATTATGCAATATGAAAGAGTCGCTCTGCGAACTTTATTAAAGGCTAGCTGCGTGCAGGAAACGCAGAGGGTATACGCAGAGCGGAAACCCCTTGACCGCATGAAAAAAACATGTGTGTGAAATATCACTGTGCACAAAACGGCCCTCATGCGGTGGAATTTCGCCAGTTGATCAGTCAGTGTACACATTTAAAAAAAAATGCAGGCGCGGCAAGCCTCAAGAGATCAGTCATATTATGTTACCGCTTGGTGGCAAGCTGTATGGTTTGTCACATTTTAGCTGTAATTACAATTGTATCTCAATTTACTTTATTATCACGGCAACATTTATAAATATTGAATAATCTGGTTCCTGTTTGTTAACTAACACCAATCACCCAGCGAAGAGGACATTAAACTTACCTTAATAGCTCATTAAAAAAAAATAATGTGATTTTTAAGTCTATGAAAGAGGAGGGGATGGGATTGAGATGTTGACCGATACGCGACTTTTTCCTTCGTATTCATAACAAAAACTGAAGTGTCAAACATTTGGATAAAGACCATTATCATGTTGCGGCCATAATCATTTCCCCCATTCAAATCAACGTAACCAAAGCGAGGCTGGAAGGAAAAAATAGTCTGATTCCTTTTTGCACAAAAAAACATTATCATTCAGTACTGCTTTTGGATACAGGGAACATGACTGAAATGGTGGCAATTTGGACTTTATATTTTGAATTTGAACACAGGTTTTCTTTTGATTTTTCTTTGAAATGTGTGTCACAGGTATGAAAGATTCCCCTCCCCTAAAAATTGGTTTATTCCTTTACGCGTAGCTAACTTATCCTTTGCTATGCTAATTCACTTCATTAATATTCATATTACGTCTGCCAATTACAAACGCTGCTGGCAACGGGCATCGGTCCCCAGGTCATTCAAATTCCGACTGGAGACCATGGAAGACAATCCAATTCCTTATCCGTCTTTCCTTTTCCATTTCCAGGTAATGATTTCCACTTTTTGTCATAATTTCTACATTTTCATATTAACACATTCCTAGGAGAAAGTGCATTCGTCTTAACTTAAGTATTTGCTAGGCATTTTGTAGATTTGTGTAAGTATTTTGGTGTAGTTTATTATAAAGAATTACTTGAGGTGTCAGTCTTGAGATATTTCCAAAATCTCATCTATTATCCTTTGCTGATACTATTCCTCATCTGTCTTGATTGCATTTGTAAATATTTATTTAGTAACATAATTTTATATCCTTTTACAACACGGTTTAAGCTTTTCGTATTTTCTTTAATTGTTTTGTCTCATTTTCAAGATGGCGACTGACATTTGAGCTTTGGCGGGAACCAAACATCGTTAACGTAGCCATCCTTTATCCGTTTACGTGATTGATTATATTGTTCATTCCAGTCGGTATATGTATTTTTATAATTTAATACGATAGTTATTTTTAGGACCAGGCCATCCTTTACTAACTCCGTCACAAAGTTGACACTTAATACTCACGCTTTCTTTGTCCTTTGAGATTCTATTTGAGATTTAACATATAATGTGACGATGTATATGTTTGTTTGATTAACTAGTCCTAGTTCTTGATCTTGATTGATGTAGCTGATAAGCTCCTACATTAACATCACTCAGCTTAAATCATCACTCAGCTAGTTATTATCTTTTATGTCTTTTTATGTTTTCCTTTAATACTTTCAGTGGTGTAAATTCAAATTCTGACTGGAAACCAGGGAAGACACCTCCAATTCCTTTTCCGTCTTTCCTTTTTCATTTCCAGAAATAAACCTTCAGAACAGAGTTGCCGTGTCTTCTTCCCAATGATTGACCCCGACCAGCTAGGTTCACATGTATAAGAAGCTTGCGGGAGCTATCCGCAATGTAAGGTTTTTTTTACAAGTTGGCAGTCGGTGTGAGGACACGAGCCTTGAACATCTCCCTCGGTATGTCTCGGCTCCAATTCTCCCCTCCAGCGATCATCTCAGCGGCCATCCTCCCCACCTCATCAGATATCATCGCCCCAAAACCGTTTCCTCCAATCGCAAGGCCGAGTCTGGGCGACAACATGTCACAGTAGGGGAGTTCGGTCGGCGTATGTGAAATTACGCACATATCGGTTTTGACAGAGACTGGATGGAAGCCTGCGAAATAGACAACAAAAACGACTACTATTTATTACCTGATTTGAAGGGCTCTTATAACGTAATTTTCCATGCTACCCTTGAAAATGCATGTTTTGTGTCACAATTTAACCTCACTTTCAATTCTTGTTTTACCATTTTGAAGGGTATTTTGGTGCCTTTTGGTTTGTATATTATGGTAATGCAATTTCCATATTCATGAGCAAAACTGTGATGTCATTCCAGGCAGATACCTCAATGTTACAGCTATTTTAGCACAAAACGTTGCTAGAATTGTGTATATTTTGCTGTCCTCAAGTTTCTTTTCTTTAGTGATTCGTTGTTGTGTACGTACATGGCAAAAGTCATTGAGCAACCTTTCTCGCAAATGTTTTCAATGAGCAAATTTTGGGTTTCAAATTTGTACAGAAAACCTTGAACAGTGTCTTCCTGAAATGACATCATACCAACAGCGCCCTCAGTTTTTCGGAAAAGCACGGACTTTTTTATGTTTAAAACTCTTTTCAAAACAAATAAACAAAAATGCAGATATTTTCCATACATTTAATAGGAGTGAAAAGTTGCACAAAATGTGTTCGTCGAAACAATTAGTTGTATGGACTGTTTTGTCCACCTTTAGATATTACTCAGAAGAAGGGAATTTCAGTAGTAGTGTCCTTGTATTTACAGTCCTATTATCTATATAAGAATATCATTACGGTACTGAATTTTGCTGCCAACCCCTTAAAATCACCATTTAAAACACAGCAGCACTATGTGTAATAACCTGGTACTTACCTTTAACGATACTCAAAAGCAAATCTCTGTACTTTTCCACCAACTTCGGATCGGGCTTAGACAGAAACCAGTCTTTGACTTCCTTGAGGCTGGTCAGTCTTCGCTGGTCCTGGTAGCCTGGTCCTAGCTTCACGTAGTATTTCCCTGGCAGAATGAAGATGAACACACGTCGAAATCTAGTGTCAATTCTTGTGTGGAAATTGGTAATTTGTCTGAACATCAAACACAAATACCGTACCAACGCTAAGCCAACACCTATTAAATGTGTTTGTTTTTTAACGAAAGGTTATCGAGTAACCCTACTGTTTTCATGAGATATTAAATTTTGTTTTAACTTTGCAGTTTTTAGGTTTGTTTTCCAACTTTTATATTATCAAGAAATACGTTTAGTGAAATTTGAATGGGAATAGTTTGAAAAATGACATTATTTTGTCCTTACCATCTGGGTACTTTATCGGCGGGAGAATGTAACACTTCCAATCCTCGTCGGTGAAAGATGTCATAGTAGGCATGCTGCGAAGCTTCTCCAAATCGCCTTCCCCAACCTCCAGCCGAACTGTGAACGACCCATCAATTCCAAAATCCAGTTTTGTAGAGGGCGGTAGAAGATCCTTGAACTGTGTGAACGCGCCTGTGCACAGTAACACCTTCTTTGCAAGGAGGGGGCGCTCTTTCTCAATCACAACCCTCATCAATGGCTCGCCGTGAGTGTGGTCCCCCGACTCCTCCACCGACTGAACTACGTCATCAATAATATCACAGCCTTGGAGGGCGGCTGCCTCTTGCTGCGCACGGACGATCATTCGAGGGTTGGCGTGGCCGGCGTCAACTGGTAACAACATGGCGGTGTCGCCATATCGACTGGTGTCCAAGAATGGATACCTTTCACGGACGCCTTCTGCCGTCAAGAGAACACCTTCTTCCTTGGCTATTGGCACCGTTATGCTTTCGATATCTTTTCCATACATGATGTGACCCACTGCTGCGTTGAGTTGTATGCCTATAAGACCAGAGGGCCAGATCGTAGATCACGATTACAAAGCTCTCAGAGAGCGCAAACCTCCCCCAAGGCAGAACAATTCAAGTGGTCCGACTACCCAATGGTCCGACGTCCCATTGGTCCGACAGTTGCACTGGTTCAGGTTGACTGACCCTTACCCTGACCCTAAGCCATCCTACGGGGCGTTGGACCAATAGAACGTCGGACCAATGGGACGTCGGACCAATGGGACGTCGGACTATAGAGACGTCCCCTTCCCCGCCATATTGTCAGTACACCCAAAAGAAATGCTGGCATGTGCACTGGACTTCCATATTTTATTGCACATTTAAAATGTCAACAGCATTGATCATTATTCTTAATTTATCGAAAAGTAGCAATGTTGGCCACTTTATGTCGTGTAAGACAGTGTTATTTATTCAATAAGACAAATCCTTAAACTGAAACATTTTGTAGTTAACGTGTATACGCCTGTGTCTACCTATCCACTCCCTCCATGTATAAAGTGGTCTAGTCCATTGACCTGTGTGGTTATAGATTAGGTCGGTGATAAAGCACAGGGTCACAGGCCGGGGGCACGCGCACAAAGCTTAAAGCTGCTCAGTTGTACACATTATATTTGCACAAACAAAATGGTGAAGAATCTCTACAAAAAAATCGCGCATCAAGACCCAGATCCGGATCACTTCCAAAATCTAATCGATTTGTACTTGTACCGAGAACCCCCCCCCCCCCCCCCACTTAAGAAAAATCATGATTTTCATAAATTTGTCACGATACAATGTCATAGCCTACCCCAACGTTGCAAATGACTTGTATGTGAGTGTGTTCAACAAAAACGATAATCAGGTCCAATTTCGCTTTCAATGCTTTGGAGGAAAAGCAATAGGTTCGCTCGTACGCACTGCCCTGACACAGGGCGCTGGGAAGGGCTACTTTTTCTAGATGCATGACGTAATTCTCTCGAGCCCTCATTGGATAGAATTTGTTTGAACAGTAACGCGGGTCAACATTTCCGCCTGTACATGGCATGTGCGCACAGAACATACGTGCATTGGATGAGGCAGTTAGCTGCCCTGCTTCTCGCGCCTAGTGCTTCCTTCACACAAAATATTGTGCAGGAGATTAGCCCTTCCCATAGGCACAACGCCCAATATGAGGGCGGTGGGTACGAGCGAACCCTACAGGCCATACTTTTGATCGAATTGGTGCGCTGTAACAACATTTTTAGGTACAAAGACTAGGGGGAAACACCTGTTTATTAAAGCAGTTCAGAAAGTTGATTAAGCAGTATGTATATATACTTCAAAAGCCTTCGATTCACGTCTGTTAATAAGTATTCTCAATGGAGTCGTTAGAGCGCCCCCATTCTTTCAAGAATAAGGCTTATTCATCACGGTACCTGTGGTTCCTTCCAATTCTTGAAGACCTTTATAAGCTCTCATTGTCATCAAACTCCGAATGTGATCACTTCCCTGATATTTGCGCACAGTACGTGAGACGTCATAATGAGAGGCGAAAATGTCCCGCGAAGGGCGATCCTGAAAACAACATCGCAACAGGTAAAACAATCTGTCCTGTCAAACTTCCAATGAGACTATGGATGTTCTCACAGGACCTTCCCAAAATGTAAGTTTGTAAAAAGTTTTCGCTATTAGGTTATAACTTAAACAACTTTCATGAATACATGTACCTAAGACAGTTTACCCATTCCTATTGGTCGTGCGCCCGTCACGTGGACGGTCTTAAACGGCTGATTAAACACCGGCTGGCTGGTCTTAAACACTTTTCCGGTGGTGTTACATGAAATTTGGACTCCTTTGAAGTCGGGTCCCTTTTACCCTTTAATTGGTTGAGCGTTCACAATCTTCACTGATTGGCATACACAATACTACCCATGAGTCCGCATTTAGAGAGTCCCAAGTTCACACAACACCGGTGTCACGGTCTCACTTCTCCGGCGTGCTAGCTTCGAATTCTCCGGGTGGATTCGGCGGATAATTGAGCACGTTACAGTGCAAGTTACATGAGCACGATTGTGTTTACAACTTCTCGCGAGAGAGACATAACATAGCTAGAGGAGTGTTTCAAAAAAAGATGATTGAAGTAAAACTGTTGAACAAATTCGTAAGAAATATATAATTTTTGACTTGTTTTGACTTTTTGACCGAAAAGGAATTCATGAATGGGAATAAATATGTGCTTGGCTGGTATTTAAAAAGTCCGTTTTTAAGACCGGCGTGGGCCTGATCGCCAATAATGTCCCTCGCCTTCGGCTCCGGCCATTATCAGCGTCCATTCCCCACGCCGGTCTCAAACGGACTTGCTTAAAACCAGCAAAGCACTTGATATTTATTCCCTTATTAATTAAGGGTTCGGTTCATGTCCTACCTTTTCCTGTGGTTCACTGGGTCCTATAAGACACACCTTGCGACCAGGCAACGAGGCGTGTCTGGCCGCTGACGAACCCCATAATCCGGCCCCAACGATGCAAATGTCGTACACCATACCTGTCCACGAGAGATCTGCCGCCATTATGGTTTATCGTCAACATTACAGAGCTCATTTGCTTGCAGCTTTTGCGGATTGTGAACTTTGGTCATGCGACGCTACGCCATCAGTATTGGTCTCTACCTCTCACCTCAGATTGTGGCACTGAGCAGTATAATTGTGATAAAGTCCGATGTAAAAAATAATGAATTAGAGACAGACACTGATAGCGTTGCGTTCCCACGAATTTGCGCAGTTTACTTCTTTCCCAACCAATCCCTTCCTATCTATGCACTGAGCGTAATGCTTGCAGCGATCCTGTGTACCCTCACACAGCGCCAAGCTTACCACGAAGTCTTAGACACACGCCTAAGTGTGTAGCACCGTATAGCTCCATGGTAGCACATTGTACAGTACGCTATATTGTATAGCGCGCAATGCATGTAGCGCTCACTGCTATTGAATATGTACCGCCATGGGACTGTACTGAGGACTTAGCCATTTTCCGTCCTCCCTTCCCCGAAGTCGACGCGAATTCCCCTCACACACCCTACCCCTGCATCCGACCCACATTGACCCCGAGCATTTAGCGAATGCGGCTCGCTAAAACCTACCCGTGTATTCACCCCTCATTGACCCCGAACACCCCAGCGAGTGTGTCCCGCTAGCAAATTTTCTTTTCCGAAATGGCATCCGCATACATGGTGGTTTAGCAACCTCTACGATACTTTTTTTGATACGCACACAGGTATATAGGTTTCGCAAGCGAACGGATATCGCTTACACTTACGTTTAGCTATACGTATCCGTTTTTTACTTACGTGTAGCGAGCAAGATATGCGTGTCGTCTGTACGTTTAGGGGATAGTGAGTGGCGTATGACGTCATACGTACAGACGACACGCATATCTCGCTCGCTACACATAAGTAAAAAACGGATACGGATAGCTAAACGTAAGTGTAAGCGTATCCGTTCGCTTGCGAAACCTCCCTAATTACGGTGTTTCTCAACGTTTTGGCGAGTAGTGCGACAGCTCAGTCGAGAGAAGGAAGTATTTTTTTCCGCGAGGTTGCGGGTGCAAATTTCGGTTTTGCACCCGATTTTTTTTCCTTTTCTAACCTGAGGCTTTGGAGGATTTTTTTAAGGGAAATAAAGTCCGAACTTCATAACGTTAAAATGTTTTTTCCCTTCTAATTCTATATTTTCTTCTCATGTTTTTATAAAACTTAAGTCCAAAACGCCATAGCGTACACCCATGGGTGGGTGTCGTTTGGGAGAAAAAAAATCGCGTCCCGCTAACCCACTGGCCGAGACCGACGGTAGCTAGCTAGAGGTCAGGTTACGTCCTTCATCTCATAGTTTTACTCCATAGCATTAGTGTGTAGATTCTCATTTAGTCTAGAGACCAAGTCTTGTACACAACCATAATGTACCGAGAAAGTTATTCCCTTTCCCTTTTTCTTGAGGATCAGTTCCCCCTAACGCACCCACGAGTGATCCTACTTCGCCCGCTAACCACTGCTTTCAGACTTTCTTCCAGTAGAATGTCCAAGTCAGCCGGTGTACAAATCTCCCTTAGACATGATAGAGAACTTTCCCCATGCCTGTGTACAGTATGCATTATTCATGACTACCAGAATCCAATGCTCTCATTGGCTAAGACGCGCACCCAAAAGTCTATATAAACCGCGTAGAAATAGCATACGTGGTCATTGGTGATCGGGGCTCTAACCCCGACAGCGCTTCTGGCATGCACACGTAGATTGGTGATCTGAGCTCTGAGTGGCATTGTACATTGTAGATCTTGGCTCTGTCCCAAACACATAGATACGCCATCTGGTCTGCCGAATTTTATAAAACTTTTCAGACTTGTCGATTATGATGTACCATATCTAAAAAACTTTGTTCCCCGATACACAGTTTGTTTTGCAATGAGACAATCTGGGATAAAAACGCCACCCTCTATTGACACAGTCTGAAACCTTTTCGCACGCAATGAGTGCTTGCCAGATAATACTTCTTTCAAGTTTCATATTACATGCATATTCTAGAGTTTTCTAGATTCTAGATTATTTCTCATCAGGATGCCAAACCCTTTTTATTAGTTTGTCCAACTTCAAATAATCAAGTTTTAAGATCGAATGTTATGTATCAGCTACATAAAAAAAATTGATTGGTAAACCGTACCCCACATGAGAATCTCAGGCTAACATCTTTCAGTTCTGCTCCCACATTTTTTTAGGGGGGGGGAGATTTGTTGAAAAGAAAAATGGCCATAAATGGAGTTTGTTTTAAACAGACTTTCCCCCCTTTTCAATAGCAGTGACGTATAATCTTAAAAAGGGATTCTATACATGTGTCAGATAAGTTGAAGCGTCTTATTACAAACCACTCAAAAAATGACATCTCAAGTTCTCATACATGTTCTTTTATTGATTGATTTTATTGTTGAGTACCCTTTTATTAAAACAAAATGACTCATGAAATAAAGACGGCATTAACTGCAAAACGGTTTTGGTATTACATATATTTTGAGGCTGCATCAAATTTTGATTACTTTTTTTTTTAATTTCAGGCACAACTTTTTTGAAAGATGTTTCAGAAGTTCAGATGCTCCACCAGATGCTTCAACTTGCAGCATGTGGCAGAATTGTGACAACAGTCTACTTTGCAGTCCCTACACATCCGGTGGAAAGGCTGGCCTCGGGTTTCCCTGAGTTCATGTCATCTTTACAAACAAAAAAACCAAAGCAACTTCTAACGATAAAGGAAGATTGGGAAGTGTATTCATGTGGCTTTGTAAACACGACGTGCGCAATCGCGACTGCTTAATACGGAAGAGTATAGGGAAATCATTATTATCAAAATACACAGACATGAGTTCGCAAAGTGCAAAGTTCTTCGCTCTTTGTATTTTTTATCTTTTGTCATAATTAAAATAATAAATGTTCTGGTTATCAAAAATTTACCATTCTGTAGGTTTGCCAGACTGTTACTTTGAGAAAAAAAACCTAAAGCTCAGTGGTTAGTATCACATAATAATTAATGCAGTTTCACTGACTGAACCGCAAATAAGGAAATGAAATTTGATGTTCTCTGTCGGCAATCTGTACGTGTCAGATGGCACTTATAAGGTCGAGCAATACCCTGACCTAACCGACCATTACCAGGGCAGCCTGCACAACAGTTTCATTTCTTGGGTTAGTTGCATGCACATTACGCATGAGCCGTTATTGTCATTTGGCCACACTATATCATAATGTACATTTATTGCAGTTTGGGTCAGAGTTTACATGAATATGCATATTACATCAGAATCACAGTTCAAAGGAACAGTTGTTATATTTATAGCCTATACATTAACTCGGCATTGGATGCCACGATGTCACATGCCGACCGTGTATTATTTTCATCTCTTACGAAATTTCCTATAAAAAAAAAAACGTTGAAGTTAAAACAAATGATAACAATCATTGAAGGCAAGCCAATATTTGAGTCAACAAACTGGAACAAAGTCTAGCATTTGTAAACAGAGGCTTAAACTGAGAAGTCAACTTCTGAGACGGCGCACAGTACTTTGACACTTTTATCTGCCTGACAGTGCCGTATTGAAGGCAGTTAGGAACATTGGTAATCACACAGACAAGTACCAAGCAATTTATATGTGAAATACTCACTCAAAGTGAAGATTAAACTGATCCCAAGTATCTTTTAAATTATTGCACCAAATGGTTTCAAAGAAAACAATCATTTAAGGTAGCTCTAAAACAGTGTGTTAGCGGGCACACTTTATGCGTTGGCAATACATGCGTTGACATGGGCCTACGAAACCTCAAAATTGTGAATTTGTTTAATTTTGGGGTTTATTTCTTTTAAATGTGTGGCATCAACCGAACAGAGAAGGTTCTATGCCAGATTTCTGGCAATTTTGTTGCTTCGAAGAAAAAGAAATGCCAAAAGGCTAAATGATCATGCACGATGGTTTTTACCAAACCCCAAAGAAGAGAATTATCGGTGAGCTATTGCATTATTAAATCACAAGTTTGAAGGCGGTGTGATGAACTGAGCCTTCAGCATCTCCCTCGGTATGTCTCGATTCCAATTCTCCCCTCCAGCGATCATCTCAGCGGCCATCCTCCCCACCTCATCAGATAGCATCGCCCCAAAGCCGTTTCCACCAATCGCAAGGCCGACCTTGGACGATACCATATCACAGTAGGGGAGTCCGGTCGGCGTGCGTGAGCATACACACATATCGGTTTTGACGGACATTGGATTGAAACCTACGAAACAGGCAACAGAAATGGATGCTTTTTATATGTCTTAAGGAAAGTCATTTATATAATCTAAGGCAATGGGTGATTGCTTTAGATTTCAATCCAAAGAAACTTCAGAAGCAGTATCCTGGTCCAGTAATCTATATAAGAATATCAAGTTTAATACTGAATTATGCGACAAAAAGCACCAATTATAGCACAGCAGCACTTTGTGTTAATAACCTGGTACTTACCTTTAACGATACTCAAAAGCAAATCTCTGTACTTTTCCACCAACTTCGGATCGGGCTTAGACAGAAACCAGTCTTTGACTTCCTTGAGGCTGGTCAGTCTTCGCTGGTCCTGGTAGCCTGGTCCTAGCTTCACGTAGTATTTCCCTGGCAGAATGAAGATGAACACACGTCGAAATCTAAAATAAATCCTGGGGTTTTTTTTACGCACAGTGGGCATATGAGGTTATTTTGTGTGGAACTAACTGACCATTTTGAAGTTTTAAGATTTTCTGAATTAGTAACTGTTAATAATTTACAACCCCCTTAACCCTCCGACGCAGAAAGCACATTTACTAACACGCTTACAGTAAGGGGTCCCTCCGGGGACCCAGATATTTAGCGCCTTGGTTTGAGGCTACACAGCACAGTATCTATATGTATACAATCTCGACATGTCTGTAGACTATAAATAAGGATGTCATTGACAGGAAACAGATGCTGTATACATAGTCTGTGGTCAAGTCGTGCACTTGGCTACCCGCAAGTGACTTTGTTTTGTGCACGTGTATATGGGCAGCCCAGGTTGTCAGGCTCAGATATGCCTGACCCGGGGTCACACACTAAAGGTGACTGCATATATCCGTAGTGGGTGTCTCTGGCTAGGATTAGATGGAAGATCACCAGAATTGGTTGGAAATTTTTTTTTTTATTAAGGTAATTAACCAAATTGGGTCCCCAAAAGGGCTAGTTTCTGCGTCGGAGGGTTAAATACGAACACAATCCATAAAGCTGTACAGAAATGTATACAAAAGCATTTCAATGTCAGTGCTTATCTCATAATTTGGTTGTCAGGGTTTTATCACTTAATCCCTTCTCGTGGTGGTGATAGGGTTTCAGTAAGAATGAAATCTCAATCATTTTTGAAACGGAAAGCAACAGGAAAACAAAATTGCCAAAACCTAAAAAACGACATCCGCCAACTTTGTTCGGATCGTGTGGTCTCACATGCTTACGCAGTGCGGGCAACACTTCTGTTTGATATTAGGAATTCAAACTTTCTTGGGAGGAGATATACATTTGTGATTCTTGTTACTGTAAATATGACATTTGGCCTTACCATCCGGGTACTTTATCGGCGGAAGCATGTAACAGTTCCATTCAGGGTCTGTGAACGATGTCATAGTAGGCATGCTGGAAATCTTCTCCAAATCGTCTTCCCCAACCTCCAGTCGAACTGTGAACGTCCCGTCAATTCCAAAATCCAGTTTTGTAGAGGGCGGTAGAAGATTCTTTAACTGTGTGAACGCGCCTGTGCACAGTAACACCTTCTTTGCAAGGAGGGGACGCCCTTTCTCAATCACAACCCTCATCAATGGCTCGCCGTGAGTGTGGTTCCCCGACTCCTCCACGGACTGCACCACGTCATCAATAATATCACAGCCTCGGAGGGCGGCTGCCTCTTGCTGCGCACGGACGATCATTCGAGGGTTGGCGTGGCCGGCGTCAACTGGTAACAACATGGCGGTGTCGCCATATCGACTGGTGTCCAAGTATGGATACCTTTCACGGACGCCCTCTGCCGTCAAGAGAACACCTTCTTCCTTGGCTATTGGCACCGTTATGCTTTCGATATCTTTTCCATACATGATGTGACCCACTGCTGCGTTGAGTTGTATGCCTATAAGACCAAAGAGCCAGATCGTAGATCACGACTACAAAGCTCTCAGAGAGCGCAAACCTCCCCCAAGGCAGAACATTTCCTCGCGGTTACGTCCCATTGGCCCGACGTCCCATTGGTCCAATGTCCCGGTTGGTCCGATGAAACATTATAGTTGCACTGGTTCAGGTTGACTGACCTTAACCCTAACCCTAACCCTTATCCCATGGATCGTTGGACCAATGGAACGTTGGACCATTGGGACGTCGGATCCGGACTAATGGAACGTCGGACTGTAGAGACGTCCCCTTCCCCGCCATATTGTCAGTACATCCAAAAGAAATGCTGGCATATGCACTGGACTTCCATATTTTATTGCACATTTAAAATGTCAACAGGATTGATCATTATTCTTAATTTATAAAAAAAAAAAAAAAACAATGTTGTCCAGTCGTGTAAGACACTGTTATTCATTCAATAAGACAAATCCTTAAACTCAAACAGTGTAGTTAACATGTATACGCCTGTGTCTACCTCTCCAATCCCTCCATGTATAAAGTGGTCTAGTCCATTGACCTGCGTGGTTATAGGTTGGGTAGGTGAAGCATAGGGTCACCGGCCGGGGGCACGCGCACAAAGCTGCTCTGTTGTACACAGCATATTTGCACAAACAAAATGGTGAAGAAGCTCTACAAAAAATCGCGCATCGAGACGAAGATCCGGATCACTTCTAAAATCTAATCGATTTGTACTTGTACCAAGGAACCCCCTCCTCCGCTTAAAAAAAAATCATGATTTTCATAAATAGCCTTCCACATCGTTGCAAATGACTTGTGAGTGTGTTAATCAGAAACGAATTTTGATCGAGTAGATAATAATCAGGTCCAATTTCGCTTTCAATGCTTTGGAGGAAAAGTAATAGGTTCGCTCGTACCCACTGCCCTGACACAGGGCGCTGGGAAGGGCTACTTTTTCTAGATGCATGACGTAATTCTCTCGAGCCCTCTTTGGATAGAATTTGTTTGAACAGTAACGCGGGTCAACAATTCCGCCTGTACATGGCATGTGCGCACAGAACATACGTACATTGGATGAGGCAGTAAGCTGCCCTGCTTCTCGCGCCTAGTGCTTCCTTTATAAAAAAAAAAAATATTGTGCAGGAGATTTGCCCTTCCCAAATGTACGACGTCTAATATGAGGCGGTGGGTACGGGTACGATCATACAAGCGAACCCTGTAGTCCATTCTTTTGATCGAATTGGTGCGCTGTAACACTTTTATGTACAAAGATAGGGGGACACACCTGTTTATTAAAGCAGTTCAGAAAGTTGATAAGCAGTATGTACAGTGTAAATACGACAATAACCTTCGATTCACGTCTGTTAATTAGAGTCGTTAGGGCGCCCTCATTCGTTCAAGAACAAGGCTTATTCATCATTACCTGTGGTTCCTTCCAATTCTTGAAGACCTTTATAAGCTCTCATTGTCATCAAACTCCGAATGTGATCACTTCCCTGATATTTGCGCACAGTACGTGAGACGTCATAATGAGAGGCGAAAATGTCCCGCGAAGGGCGATCCTGAAAACAACATCGCAACAGGTAAAACAATCTGTGCTTGTCTGATACATAATTATTAAACAAGTCCATTTAAGATCGGCGTGGGCCTGGTCGCCAATAATGTTCCTCACGACCTGGGCCCTGGTTATGGCAGCGTCCATTCCCCACAATGGTCTGAATCGGACTTGCTTGAAACCAGCATTATAAAGCACTTGATATTTGTTCCCTTATTAATTAAGGGTTCGGTTCATGTCCTACCTTTTCCTGTGGTTCACTGGGTCCAATGAGACACACTTTGCGACCAGGCAACGAGGCGTATCTGGCCGCTGACGAACCCCATAATCCGGCCCCAACGATGCAAATGTCGTACACCATACCTGTCCACGAGAGATCTGCCGCCTGCATGGTTTATCGTCAACATTACAGAGCTCATTTGCTTGCAGCTTTTGCGGATTGTGAACTTTGGTCATGCGAAGCTATAGGCATTCTGTATTTGTCGCTACCTCTTACCTCTCACCTCAGATTGTGGCACTGAGCAGTATAATTGTGATAAAATCCGATGTACAAATAATGGAGCGACAGACACTGATTATGTAACATGCACATTACGCATGAGCCAATATTGTCATTTGGCCATTCTATGCCAATGAACATTTATTGAATGCAGTTTGATTACAATCATTGAAGGTAAGATAAGGTAAGAGTCAACAAACTGGAACAAAGTCTAACATTTTGTACACAGAGACTTAACAGAAGTCAATTTGTGAGACGACGCACAATACTTTGACACTGCCTGACAGTGCCGTATTGAAGGCAATTAGGAACACTGGCAATAACGCGGACAAGTAACAACCAATTTATATGTGAAATACTCACTCAAAGTGAAGATTAAACTGATCCTAAGTACCCTATAAAATTATTGCATCAAAAGGTTCACATAAAACAATCATTGAATTAGCTTTAAAACTGTGTGTCGGCGGGAACACCTTATGCGTTGGCAATACATGCGTTGCAGCATTGGCCTATATCTGACCCCCCAAATTTGATTTGTTTTTTCCTGAAAATGTATGGTAGCAACCGAACAGAGATAGTATGCAAGATTTCTTGCAATTGTGTTGCTTTGACAGAAAGCAATGCCCAAAGCATAAATGATCGTGCACGATGGTTCACTTCAAAATAACGAAACTCTAAAGAAGAATGAGCTAGCCCATCAATTAAATCACAAGTTTGAAGGTGGTGTGATGAACTGAGCCTTCAGCATCTCCCTCGGTATGTCTCGATTCCAATTCTCCCCTCCAGCGATCATCTCAGCGGCCATCCTCCCCACCTCATCAGATAGCAATGCCCCACAGCCGTTTCCACCAACCGCAAGGCCTAGTCTGGGCGATACCATATCACAGTAGGGGAGTCCAGTCGGCGTGCGTGAACATACGCACATATCGGCTTTGACAGAGACTGGATTGAAACCTAGGAAATGGACAACAGAAATGAATGCTGTTTATTAGTTGTTTTTAAGGAAAGTCATTTAAGGCACCGGGTGATTGCTTTATATTGCAAACCAAAGGAATTTCAGGAGCAGTAATCTTGTATTTTGATAGTCCAGTAATCTATGTAAGAATATCAAGTTTAATACTGAATTTTGCCGACAACCCCTTTAAAAGCACCAGGTTCTTACCTTTAACGATACTCAAAAGCAAATCTCTGTACTTTTCCACCAACTTCGGATCGGGCTTAGACAGAAACCAGTCTTTGACTTCCTTGAGGCTGGTCAATCTCCGCTGGTCCTGGTTTAATGGTCCTATCTTGACGTAGTATTTCCCTGGCAGAATGAAGATGATATTGTTTCAGTTACTAAGAAATCCTGTATCATTTTGAAAAAGACTTAAGATCAGGAATATGAAATTGCCAAAACCTTTAAAATCAACATCCGTCAACTTTGTCCGGATATTGTGGTCTCACATGTTTACGCAATGGCAACATTGTTCAGGTATTTAGGATGGTACAAAATCATTTCAAAATTGGGTATTCGTATATGGAAAACGGCTATTTTTTATCGTATCTTTCAATCGTCGGATTAATTTATTTGGGATGACACTGTTTCAATACCGATTTATTCGGGGCGCTAATGGAACTTTGGAATTCCCTTACCCATGTGTGCAATTGGAACGGAAATTTGTTGGCATTTAGGATGGTACAAAATCATTTCAAAATTGGGTATCCGTATTTTCTATGGAAAACGGCTGTTTCGTATGGGAACATTTTCGAAGTAATTTTAATAATTTAGTTGTATTCAAATGTGCATAGAAGATTCCTGTTTCTGTAAATATGACCTTTGACCTTACCATCCGGGTACTTTATCGGCGGAAGCATGTAACAGTTCCATTCAGGGTCTGTGAACGATGTCATAGTAGGCATGCTGGAAATCTTCTCCAAATCGTCTTCCCCAACCTCCAGTCGAACTGTGAACGTCCCGTCAATTCCAAAATCCAGTTCCGTAGAGGGCGGTAGAAGATCCTTGAGCTGTGTGAACGCGCCCGTGCACAGTAACACCTTCTTGGCCAAGAGATGGCGCCCATTTTTAGTCAAAACCCTCATTACTGGCTCGCCGTGAGTGTGGCTCCCCGACTCCCCCACCGACTCAACCACGTCATCGAAGATATCACAACCTTGCAGTGTGGCTGCCTTTTGTTCCGCATGGACGATCATACGAGGGTTTGCGTGGCCACCGTTAATTGGGAACAACATGGCGGTGTCGCCATATCGGCTTGTGTCCAAGAATGGATACCTTTGATGGACGTCCTCTGCCGTCAAGAGAACCCCTTCTTCCTTGGCTATTGGCGCCATTTTGCTTTCGATATCCTTTCCATAGAAGATGTGACCCGCTGCTGCGTTGAGTTGTATGCCTAAGACCAAAGAGCCAGATTGTAGCTCATAATAATGTTTTAATGATTCTAAATTATAAGTCATCCTGATATCATCCTCACAAAAGGGTATTGTTTACGTGTACAACTGCCTGTTATGTGCCAAAGAGAACACCTCCTAGCCCATGCATGTAAACACACACCACATACTCACACTTCTAACTGTTCATAATGAGACCAAATTCAGGGCCATTAAATGCTTGTAGCTCCTTAATTGGTTTTCACGTTCAAAGATTATTCAGAATAAAAGTTGTTAGGAAAATGTTCATAAATACAGACTACATCGTCGTATGACGGTCTGATCTTCATTTCAGTTCAGTTCAATTCATTTTATTTCCACACTTCATAGGAAATAACAGTACATGTACATGTAATTATGAGACTTTATTGAACAATAAGTGGAGGAGGTCTCCATCAAAGAAGCAGAAGCAGTCTTCAACACAAATTTGAACGAGTAGATAATCAGGTTTAAAAATGTCGCTTTCAGTGTTACACATAGTTTGTTAGGGGAAAAGGAACACTTGCCACATGCCATAGAATGATGGGTACTTCTTGAGCTGTAGCAGTATGTAAACACGTCAATAATAATGCGGTCGTTAGAGCGCCCTTACTCGTTCAAGAGCAAGACTTATTCATCACGGTACCTGTGGTTCCTTCCAAGTCTTGAAGACCTTTAAAAGCTCTCATTGTCATCAAACTCCGAAAGTGATTGCTTCCCTGACATTTGCGCACTGTTCGTGCGACGTCATAATGAGAGGCGAAAATGTCCCGCGATGGGCGATCCTGGAAAACAGGTCAAACAGGTAAAACAATCTGCCCTGCAAAACTTCCTATAAGAATACCGATAATTTCCACAGACTTTTCCCTAACGGGAATTTCGTAAATATAGCTTTTGCTCCGAGTTCTGAGTAAATGTAGATCATTCATTGGTGTCTCGTTTGAACCAACAAAAGTGTTTAAAATCTAAACACGGATGCCTTATAACAAACCAAATGAAGTTTTAGCTGAGTCTGTGAATGATGTTTATTTCGAGAAAACAGAACAAACACAAACACAATACCCTGAATCTCAATTCCAATGTTGCCGAGTCATAATTATTTCGAATTCTGCCCTCGTGACACAATCCTGAAATCAGCATTCGGGACATGATTCTCATTCAGCCGGTGTGCCACCCATCCACGGATTCGCCCGATTGCAAACCAACAACAAATATAGAACATGCAGGCCATTGTATGTGAGCTTGAAAATTTGAAACTTTTTTTTACGACACAGTTTTCATGGTTTTAGGTTTCAACAAATTTGCTCACAAAGTCATATAGTTAAGACTTGGCCCGGTAGCTTAGCGTAACACAAAAGTGCCAACTATTTGCTTACTAGCTGTCTTATTTCTCTCCCCCGTTTCATGGCAAAAGCATGCCTGAAAACAGTGTTAGAAAAATGGGTCAGTTTGATATTTAAAAACCCTCAAAGTAGCTCTCAGGGTGTTATCTTGGGTTGTTTATTTGGAGGGAGAATAGAATCCCACGCTCCGCATAAAAATGGCCCCCAGAACATGAATAGCAACTAACCTGAAATTCGCGAACAAAACATGGTCGGAAATTTGTCAATGTCTCTACCTTTTGAAACGTTCTGTCAATTCTTCTACTTTTATTGTCCAGAAGGTATTTATGCAGTGGGAATAAATATGTGGATATCAAGCACTATAAGACCGGGTTGGAGGCGCTGATAATGACCCACATCAGCGTCCATGACTGATATGACTGAACCCTGGTCTTAAGCACAGTGTTTAATAACGGCTAACAACATATTTACAGTGTTGTAGTTGAGTACTTTTTTCTGAGTACCGAGTACTGCCGAGTTCTCAGGTTGCCGAGTACGAGTACAAAAACTGGTACTTCTGAGTACAAGAACGGGTCTCTGAGTCCGAGTATTTGTACTTCCGAGTACGAGTACGAGTACGAGTACCTGTACTTCCGAGTACGAGTACGAGTATTCGAATTTCCGCATACGGCCATACGGCAAATGGTTCACTGTGCGTAATTGGCCAAGGACCAGTCAGACCATTATACAGACCCACTCACGGCTAACTGTTGAATGTGTTGCCCAGACTTGCACAGAGAAAAATCAGGAAATCTCGGTTTCTCCACAACCCAATCAACCATTTCAAACTGAAAGTATCGATAAAATAAGGCCATGGTAAGTGAAGCTATAACATTTTCCCCCCGAGTACTGCTACTGCTTAATGATCGAGTACAATTTAGACAAGTCGAGTATGAGTACTTTGCTGCCCGAGTACGAGTACCGTCATTTCGAGTACGAGTACTTTGACATTCGAGTACGAGTACAAGTACGAGTACTCAAAAAAAGTACTCGAGTAGTACTCGGGTGCGAGTACCGAGTACGAGTACTACAACACTACATATTTATTCCATTATGAAGGGTTCGGTTCATGTCCTACCTTTTCCAGTGGTTCGCTAGGTCCAATAAGACACACCTTGCGACCAGGCAACGAGGCGTGTCTGGCCGCTGAAGAACCCCATAATCCGGCCCCAACGATACAAATGTCGTACACCATACTTGTCCACGAGTGATCTGCCGCCATATTGGATTGCCATGAAAATTACAGAACATTAGCAGAATGTTTACTTGCAGCTTTTTCAGGATGGTACATTTTGGTCATGCGAAGCAGTTTTGTCCGGCTAGTTCCAAACTCAGACTGTGTTAGACGTTCAAATAATGAAGAGTGTACAGCTGGATTGAAATGATGAGGTGTACATGCACTGAAGTCCCATTGTACAATCACACTTCCTTATTTTGGTTCCGATTGGTTTAAAGTCACGCATTGGTGAAACAGTTTACACAGAACTATGTAGAAAATTAGAGTAGAATTTCAGTAACTTGGAATAAACTTTTGCAAATTTATGGATGAAGATTTCTGAATGTCCGGTTTACAACTAGTAATGATCTGAGTTCTGAGGTTTTGTTTGGTCGATTAATGAACGGAATGGTTTCAGAAAGGTAGGCCTACATGTAGGAAGATAATGGTTCAGTTGTTTGGAAGTTAACGGAAGGACGGTGGAAGATAGGTGGAAGATTTTGCTGAAATAAAATACAAAATATACTACCATGAGCATTTAAGAAATACATGAAGTCTGTGTAAAGTGTGCGCATTATTTGGGATAAGCACAGGAATAAAGAATTTATCATTAAGGAAATCAACACTTTTCAACTTAGAAAACCTTGCAGTATTAAAGTAGGTAAATCAAAGTACAGCCCAGGTGGACTCCCTATATATCTCCCTACCTACGGAGGGCACGTCGTCGTCCAATCTGGGGCACAGTAGTATTAACACTGTATGATAAAGCACTATGGGTAGACGAGCTTGATAAGCTACATTTCAATTCAATTCAAGAAGCATTTATTTCATACTCCTTTAGAGAAATATAAGATATCTGGTACATAGCAAAATAACAAGTTCGACAAATATGTCACAAAAAATGTAATAAATTAAAGTAAACTGCGTTATTAACAAGTGTTAAATTAAGTTTGGTTTATGTACAGGAGCAAATATGATTATGGGGCTGTTAAAGTAAGCCGAGGCTTGTAAGAAACAGCCTTCACAGACAACAATAGAAACAGCGAAACAAAACTAGTACAACGAGACACAGACAATACAGACAAGACAAAAATGACACGGCTTAAGCTGACATGATATGAAAGTATTAAATGAGTAAATAATTGGAAAAGCAATGATTTTGATGGAGCTTCAGGAGCTACAATAAACGGTGAACATGATGAAACTCATATCAATTCCTTTTCGCTCCTTTTCAATGCACCACACGACCGCTCGAACATCCCCCATTGGAACAATACATGGAATCAACGGGGTATTTTTTTATGTCATAACTAACAAACGCGGTAAAAGTTTTCGTCGTTAATCGAGTATTATGAAGACTATATTATATGCTTCCAGGTAATGTGATTTATATTAGAAAAGAAGCCGATTAAACTCCGTCATTTTTGGGATAAACTTCACAGTTCTCCCCAATTTTGGTTCAAATGTGTGTGTAAAGTCGCTTTTTCGCTGAGTTTATGCTGCAATGACCATCTTCAACTCGCCATAATTTCCGCTAGCGCCCTCCTTTGACTTTGTTAATCGCACAGTAGACTTGGCGATTCATAAGCTCACTATCAATGTAAAATTCATCATGATTGGGCAATGTTAACCCCCGTCCAAAATGAGACAAAGAATATCCATCCAATAAAGTAGGCTCTTTGATCCATGGACATTACTGTACACAATGCAATGGGCCACGTCCACGCACGCTGTGTGGTTGTGTGGGGGACGTTGTGTTTACACAATGCTCAAGGCCAAAGATATAATGAGTGCAGGCATAGCAGTTTCGAGAGGAGCGTTTTTACTATGGAAGGAATTGATATGAATAAAAACGATGAAAATGCATAGAAATCAGGTTGGGAAGCTATGCTACATACGAGGACAGGAGGAATTTCTTGTACCGTGATTTACATGCATGACATGTATTCTACATGTGCAAGCAAAACAACACATAGGCTAGCTGCATATGATGATGCATAAGCGCATGTCAGTACAGTCGTTTGACCGGACCCGCAATGGAAATCGTCTGACGGGTCTGGTGGCAAAATTGCGGAACCGGTCAAACAACTGTACTAAATTCTCTGCAACATGTAAGAAAATAGCACTAAAATTCTCAACTTCTACTCACTACGCTGGGGTAGGATGATCTCTAAACCCTTCGGCTTGACTTATGAGATTACATGTAACTAGCTAAAGATGACTTTCATGAACGTATGGGCTGATTTTGAGAGATAAATTGTACGGAATAACGAGACTTTAAAGGTAACAATGAATAGCGCCCTCAATTGACAACTACACTACGGTGTCCCGGAGTGGCCATGAGCTTGCTGTCGGCTACAAAGAGACAGACTCTTTCATGCATTCCGATTATGATGGGCCTTCACAGCCATGTGGTTGCGAAGGCCGATTTCTTATGGTTACGTAATACTTTATTTTGAATGAAACAACAAACATGTGGATGTAATTCGCCGGCGAAATCTTTGAAAATCAATTTCTCCCCAAGACCGTATCTTCATGCAACTGTCAGGGTTTGTTTCCCCTTGTGCTAAAAATGTTTTTCGTTGAAATTGGAAAAATAGCAGTGGCTTATCCAAGGGGGGGGGGGGGCACCTTGCCCCCTGGATTTTTTTAATACATTTTTTCAGTAACTATTTCCATAAATCGCGAATCCTGGAGACGTACGACAAAGTTGGCTGCCACCCACCCTCTGTTAGAGGACGGCATCTGATAGGATAGGATTTCCATAAATGGTTAGATAGTTTTTACATGAACAAAACTTCCAAAACCATTACAATGCGCCGTGAAAATCGGCATATATTTTCCAGTATGCATAATAATGGTCAGTTTTGAAGAGCGCCTCCATTTGAATTGAATTGAATTGAATTGAAGATAAGTACCACTACCAGCCCCCCCCCCCACCCCCACCCCCCCCCCCCCTCCGGCCCCCGACATAAAATGTTGGATACACCACTCAAAAAAAGGCTTGAGAACGTCCATTTTTGAAAGCTGTAACACTGGTGTTTGCAATATCTGCCAATCTTTTCATGCCTCATGAATGTTAATAAGGTACGTTCCTATCCATTATTATGGTGTGCAGTAAAAAAAGAAATTGCAGTATATCGAGATAACTGCCTGGATTTGGGGACGTTTTCGAACGATTTCTTCCCGACTTTAAGGTCAGCTTCACCAGCAGCGATGTGGGCAGGGTTTTCATCCTAGGGGTGAGTGGGGGGGGGGGGGGGGGGCTTGATGTCACAGTGGAGGGGCGCCCAATTTATATCCCTGCTCGAAGATAGACAGGGTTTTTTTCACTGGACATCCGGGCTCCGTCAAATCAAACAGTGGGGGGGGGGGGGGGGGGGGGGAGGGAGGGATTGGACACCGTCTTTCAATGGGGGAGCTAATCACAATCAAATTCATTGTCAAACAACAGTATAGCTATACGCACTCTACAGGGCGTTATAATAAACATCCAATCGCAAAAAATAGGGTTTTCACCAAAAACAAATTTGAAATGTTTAAAAAGGCACTTCAGGTTAATTCCGCTCATCTTGGTTTTGTAACGGATTAAACAATTTCCAGTGGAGGGAGGCGACTGGGAGCGAAGATAGCATATTCTCAATTGATATTTTTTTCGAGAGTGCATGGGCGGGGGACATTTGCCCACCCACCCCCATTGACACCCGTGCAGACGCCCATTTGTTATTTGTATTAAATTAATAGCAATAGGCCTATGACTAGATTTCACACCTCTTTTTCCCTTCTTTTTCTCAGTTCTCCTTTTTGTCTTTTCCAGGGGGGGGGGGGGGACCGCCCCTTGCACCTGGGGGAACCCCACCCCGCGGCGCCCATGATGAATATGCATATCGGTACTCCAGCAGCACAATTCAAAGGAATAGCTGTTTTATTAACATGTATGTACATAACTTGACAATGGATGCTGCGATGTCACTTATTATTAAATGCAGACATAATGTTGATACTGTATAACAGCTCTTAAACTTTGAACCTGTTTATCCGTAAGCCTCTATCTTTACATGTACACTGCACGAAAATAAAATGATAACAATCATTGAAAGTTACCCAATGATTGAGTCAACAAACTCAACAAAGTCTAGCAGTGTAAACAGAGACTTAAAATAATGTCAAGTTTTGAGACGACGCACAGTACTTTGACACTGTTATCTGCCTGACAGTGCCGTATCGAAGGCAGTTAGGAACATTGGTAATCACGCGGACAAGTACCAAGCAATTTATATGTGAAATACTGAAAGTGAAGATTAAACTAATCCCAAATACCCTTTAAAATCATTGCACCAAAAGGTTCACAGAAAAGAATCATTGAAAGTAGCTTTAAAACAGTGTGTCAGCGGGCACACTTTATGCGTTGGCAATATATGCGTTGGCATTGGTCTATACGAGACCCCAAAATGTGCTTTTCTGTTTTCTGAAAATGTATGGTACCGGTAGCAACCGAACAAAGAAGTATGCAAGATTTCTTGCAAATTTGTTGCTTCGAAAAAAAAATGCCCAAAGTGCAAATGATCGTGCACGATCGTGCACGATATGGTTCACTTCGAAATAACTAAACTTTAAAGAAGAGAATTATAGGTGAGCTATTGCATTATTTAAATCACAAGTTTGAAGGCGATGTGATGAACTGAGCCTTCAGCATCTCCCTCGGTATGTCTCGATTCCAATTCTCCCCTCCAGCGATCATCTCAGCGGCCATCCTCCCCACCTCATCAGATAGCATCGCCCCGCAGCCGTTTCCACCAACCGCAAGGCCTAGTCTGGGCGATACCATATCACAGTAGGGGAGTCCAGTCGGCGTACTTGAACATACGCACATATCGGTTTTGACAGAGACTGGATTGAAACCTACGAAATAGACAAAAGAAATAGCTGCTGTTTATTTTTGTAAAGTCAAGGCATTGAGTGGCTGCTTTAGATTTTAAACTAAAAAAAAGTAACTCAATAGCAGTATCCTTGTACTTTGATAATACTGTGGCGGTCTTGTGTCGACGATGCCTTGGATATTGCTCTCTGCCGACCCGACGAGCGGCTGTGGGGAAGGCCAGGGGAACAGGTCCGTTTTGGGGCAGTCTACCGCCCGGCGCTCAGGGAACACACTCACTCGCGCTCTCACGCAAACCTCACGAACACACTCGGGGAAGGGTTAACGTCCAATGAATAGATCAGACACTCAGGTATTTAGGGCTCTACTGCTTTATTGTAACCACTTGGAGACCCAATAAGGTGCGTCCTACTTAGGTGTGTCCTACTTAGGTGTAAGAATTGGCCCCTTTCCAATAATCGTCAAGAACTGGAATGCTTCCCGTACCAATCAGATTTCCTAATCCCTGCACTCACCGGAACTAAACCAGTGCTCTTCCTGAGTGAGAGACTGACCACAGCTGTACTGCACACGCTTCAGCAACTCCAAGTCTCTGAGCGGGAACTGTGCTACGCTTCGCGCCACAATTTACAGCTAAATCCCACAACGTGAGCAGCGCAATAGGAGAGTGCAATCCATGAACGAGTGAAATGGAAGAGAGCGAGTGCGCGCGCGACACGCGCTTATATACCCGCGCTGGGTACCAACCAGCCACGCTACTCGCGCGCTGTACAACGGACAGAAGTCCGCGTACCAACCAACTAAACTACATATGTGGTGAGCCTAGCGCGCCAAATATTAACTGTTCCGCTACAATAGACCGCTTGCAGACGCGTTCGATAATTGACGCGCGAAGGTGTGCGACGCCATGTTGTGGGACAAAATGTGCATGGATAGATATACGCTTGTCCCACAACATGGCGTCGCGCGCCTTCGCGCGTCGATTATCGAACGCGTCTGCAAGCGGTCTATACTGTTGTAAGAATCTAGAGTCTGGTCGGCGTGACAGTCCACACACACACACACACACACATACATTGGTTTTGGCATTATCAATTGATGTCCACTTCAATAAATATTCACTTTTCAATAAATACTGGTTGCAAATAAGTATTTTATCAGAAATGGGACTCTTTCTTGATATTAGGAACTTAAATTTAATGGAACTTATTAAATTTATATTTGTCATATATAAAATGTTCAAGTTGCATACGGATATCAAGAAAAGAGACATTGAACAATAAATAACAAATCCCCGGGGAAAACAGATTGGATAAACCTAAAAAAATCCCTCGTTGTAAGATATAAAATGTATATGTAAATATTGTATCGTTTGTATTATTAGCTACAAGCTGATTTACCCGATCATAGATCGGGTAGGGCGTAGTGTTGGGGATGAAAATTTGGGGAGTTAAATGTAAATGGGGATATAGTTAAGGAGACATGCAGTTATAGAAAAGCAATTTCTGTGGTGTGATGCGAGGCAATTTCTGACCACTAAAACCAATTTCAGCAAAAGATCATCTTGTAAAGTTTTGAGTTTTGAGTAATTGAATCAGCTACATGTATTCTGAGCAATAGAATCATTGTTGTAGGCTACAATTTTTATTCGGGGAAGAAAAAGTGTGTGTGTGGGGGGGGGACCAAACAATATTCCCCGCTTTAAAATGGGGGGGGGGGGGTCCCCCTGTCCCCCATCGATTTACGCACATGATAATTATGTACCATGGCAACTGTCTGTAAATAAATTGGCATTTTGTGAGGCAGTCGCATTTGGAAAACGCAGTGAAAAGGTTACCGTAGTACACAGGCGAAGGCTGATTGTACAGTTTTGACAATAAATCATAATGCAATAAAACGTAAAGGTGTCATTTAAAATGAAAATGTTGAGTGTTACCATAAAATTACAAACGATCATGGAGGAAGGTCATAATTAAGTTTCAGTATTGGACTCTTCAACAAACGTAAACTTGAATTTCTTACAATTTGCGAGACCGTCTTCGAGGAAAAAGTCGATTTAGCTTTTATTGAAGTTGGTTCAACCATCTTTATAAGAGCAAGTTTTACTCGGCCTCCGAGAAATGTTTGCTCCTGAAAGGATCCGAGACCGCTGTCTCCCGCGACACCAAAATGGCTCCATGATGTCCGTGGAAAAATGTGGGTGTCTTCCGCCGGGTCGGACACTTTCGTCGATTTTTTTGTGAATGCATCGATCCTTCGTTGACCCCAAACAGGCCCCCGAAATTATAACATGACACTGAATTATACGTGGCGGGCAGCGAACTCACAACGCTCAGCCTTGGTGGTGGAAGCATGGAGCTGTAAACACATTATGGAAGCAACAGCACTCTATAACGCGACGTCACATGTTTGCGCTTCAAATAGCGAGCACCGTAGACCCAACCTCGTTTCCAGGGTGTGGAGCAGGCTGCAGTACGTGTTGCCATCGACAGTTTTGCATAGCCCGGAAATACTACGCAGTGTAGACTTTCGATTGGTCAGACCGCGCAAGGCATACTAATGTGTAGTCATTCTGAGTATTCGTTGCACTCAGCGCAGGGGCGGCAAGCGCAGCATATGAAAGAATAGGGACACTTGGTGGCCACGCACCATGGAGAAAAAATATTTTACCAAGGTCACCCCATCCACCATTTGGTGAACGCTTTTGCAGAACGGCCGAGTAGAACACGTAAACACAACCCCTACGTCGAAGCCGCTGACCTCGCACAGTCACGAAAAATCGACGAAACGGATCGCCGGTCCGTACGGGAAAATCAGGACGACACGAAGTGTCCGACCCGGCGGAAGACACCCTCCGCATTTTTCCACAGACGTGGAGCGATTCTGGCGCCGCAGGAGCCCGCGGTCTCGGATCCTTTCATGAGCAAACATCGTCTCGGAGGCCGAGTTTAACTCTCTCTTATATATATAGATATCTTTGGATGAGGTTTTCCTTTCACGTTTTTAAAATTGTAGCTTCAATATACATGTATAATACCTAGTGGTCATAATACCACAACCCCTCAGTTACCTTTTACGACCGCCAAAAGTATATCTTTGTAATTTTTCACCAACTTCGGATCGGGCTGGGACAGAAACCAGCCTTTGACATCCTCAAGTGTAATCAGTCTTCGCTCGTCATCGTTCATAGGCCCTATCTTCATGTAGTGTTTGCCTGGATGTATAAAAAAAAAACATATACATTGTATGTCACATTAACACTGCAGCGGTGGAATTTATTTTTCATCTTTACTTAGAAGAAGTTGCAGATATTCCCACACGTCAAACGGAGTGCTTACGTGGTTTAATTCTTTTGTTTTAAGAGCTACTTAAAAGGAGGCTTTCATTTAATACTTGATCTTATTTCAAAAATAAGAAACTGGAACCCTCGACTCTGGAAGACTTGTTTTACTTTTAATCTGAGTTTCCTTGTAGTTTTTTTTCAGTGATGACTGTTTCTTTTTTCTTTGAACTGGTTTTTAGTCAGAAACGCTGTTTGCTGCTACCATAATGTGCAATAAAGCTAAGGTGGTTTCGACATCTTGGGTAATATAAAATAATTTAATGTAAATGACCTTTGACCTTACCATCCGGGTACTTTATTGGAGGAAGTATATAACAATCCCACTCCGGGTCACCGTGGGAAGCCATAGTAGGCATGGTGCGAAACTTTTCCAAATCCCCTTCTCCAACTTCCAGTTTAACTGTGAATGCCCCTTGGATTTCCAAGTCCAGCTTTGTTGGGGACGGTAAAAGATTCTTGAGCTGTGTGAAAGCACCTGTGCATAGCAACACCTTCTTGGCCAGTAGGGGGCGCCCTTTCTCCATCACAACCCTCATCAATGGTTCGCCGTGAGTGTGGTCCCCCGACTCCCCCACCGACTCAACCACGTCATCGATTATATCACAGCCTTGGAGGGCGGCTGCCTTTTGCTGCGCACGGACGATCATTCGAGGGTTGGCGTGGCCGGCGTCAACTGGGAACAACATGGCGGTGTCGCCATATCGGCTGGTGTCCAAGAATGGATACCTTTCACAGACGCCCTCTGCCGTCAAAAGAAGACATTCTGTCTTAGCAGATGGCACCATAATGCTGCGTATATCCTTGCCAAACACCATGAAACCCGCCTTTGTGTTGAGTTTGACACCTGAAAACACACAACCAGGTCACACATTATTTACTATTTGGGCCTATATACATGTAGTTGTTTCAAAGTTGTAGGCATATTAGACGTATGAGATGAGTCTACGCTACATTGCTGTGCTTGTCATTAATTATTTTGCTCCGAGATATTATAGGCGATATTATAGGCAATTTTAGTTGTACTAATTTTACAAAGAGGGCGTTGTAGTGCATGGGTAAAAGAGCTCTCAATCGTCGGAACTTTCGTATAGCTTCAAACGGCAATTGGACTTCATGATCGTTTTTTTTTACTTCTTGATCTTTAGGTTTATACACCACCTGAATAAATCCCCGTCATCTGATTGGTGAATTGTAGATCACGTGACATATTATTATTCGGTATAATGCACGGTGCGACCATGCGTTATACCCATTGATCTCCATATACACAGACTGGATAGGACATCGCGCCGTGTTTGTGCACGAATGCGCGGCCGAACAATGGCGGCGCGTTTACTGTCAGACGGGTAAACGCGCATTGTGCTTTCACTTTGTTTACTTTGGAAAATTGATTATCGAGCGACATTTTTCTTACAAGTTACAGGAGGGAAATCAAGCGCTCCTCCAAAACCAATCTTAAACTAACTGAACGATGAAGAGTTACCCTCAATCCCTCCAAACAGCTTTTCCACACTTTCTTGATATACACTTTATTATGCATTTTCGAAATTCAAGAACCCCCATTTCCTTTTTTTTTTAAATCCCTCCTCCTCCCAAAAATGATTGTAAGTAAATTGCCATTTTATTTTTGGCACATTGGTCATTAGAGCACACTGAATTACTCCATCAATTAAATGATTATTGTATTAATAATATGCTGAAATGACATCATATTTTTTAACTGAACACTCACACGAGAAATTGTATGGATATTCATTCAAATGATTGATATATTTATTAAAAACCCAAACATAAACCAATTAGAATCTAAAAGGTAAGGAAAAACCTTAATTTTACAAAGTAATCAGTAAAAACTTCTTCCCGTCCCTAGATTGATCAGGGAATGACATCGTTCACCTCCTGTGATATTGTGTGAAAGGAGATGAATCACAAAGCAAAATTATATTTTTGTCAAAGAATAATTCAAGCTACGCACGGTCTTGTTTTATAATTAAATGTTTAGCTATACTTCTGAAAATAAATATAATTACTTGTAAGTATAATGGGAATCGTTTTTGTGAGCGAATATGACGGTGTATTAATGGCTATAACTAATAATCTTATATAACGGCGTACACAATATAATTTCAAACCGTAAAAGTACTCATTGCTTTCTTCACCATACAAACTGTCAATATAAATGTGTCAGTCATCTTGGAGCTCACAAAAATACTTGCGTTTAACCCCACAGCTTCTTTCCAAAAAAAAATCAATCAATCTTAACAGGTTTACATAAAGAATAGATTAAGTCAAACTCTCAGATGCCCATCACATCGTATGTTCCATTCAGTGGATGATATACGGTATTCGATTCCATCCCTCCGTGAAGCTCTCCATTTTCGTCCGTCTCGGAAATCGTCCTGCAGCTGGTAGTTTTTGCTATGGCTTTGCTGAAGTTCTTTGTTTGAAATGAAGGTCAATCGGCCGGTTGTGCAGTAATTTAGCATTAACCACCTCCTCGGTTTCTCTTTATAAAGAATAGAAACATTTCGGTAGGCGTTTAAGGCAGACATAATTCAATCAGATTTTGCATATAAAAGTTATAAAAGTTATTTGAATAAACTATTTTAAACAAGTCAACTTTTGTTCATTGCCATTGCCATTGCCGGGTCAGTCATGCACGTTTAGGCCTATGTCTTTTAAAGAAAAATGATGCCGACCAGCATGACACTGACAGGCCTAGACTTATGGAATTTGAACAGAATATCTCGCTATAGCTACCACACAGGCCTCCATCCCCTCAAACTCACAGCGACATTAACGATATTATAATTTGCTTTGTCGTTCCCATGTTCATATTCCTCCATGCCATGTTGTATAGGCCTCGTTAAAAAAACAACTTACTTGCGAATAATTGTCCTATTCTTCAACGCTCCTTACTTCCCGACTCCAGCAATCTAATGCTGCGCACACCTTGACTGTACTACTCGTCGATTTTGATCAATTTAGATCTCTGTTTCTTTTATTCTTTCAAAAATGACAAAGAAACCGAAGAAAAGCCAACTTCATTTTTGAATCCTCCGTTCGAAAGTGTACACAATTCAAATGCGAATTTGTGTTCTTTACCCTTTTCAAAAAACGCGCGCGCGGACGCACGTTCGTACGCGATGTCCTATCCAGTCTGTGTATATGGAGATCAATGGTTATACCCATGCGTTATATCGTTTCACTTTGCGCTTGTGCCATGACGCGGTATTTGCGTGCAAAATGCATGCTGGTGTGCGCGTTCAGCGTAGCGCGTATTGTTCCAAAGAGCCAGCGCTACAGCGTTGGGTTCAAACATTTTCGTGAAGGGGTAGTTAAACATCTTTAAAATCAAAATAAATTGTAGTTTATAATTTACCAATCAAATGACGAGAATTTATTCAGGTGTTGTATAAAACAAATAACGAATGTTTTACGTTCGTGCGATGGTAAGAATAATTTCATGAGGTGACAGATTGAATGTTCTATTCCACGAGGCGAAGCCGAGTGGAATAGAACATTCAATCTGTCACCGAATTCGTTATTTATATACTATCAAAGCCTCATCTGAATACATTTTGGAAAATGTTCCCAAGATTACATTGATAAAATTAACCAAGTTTTGATGGAGACGACAAGAGTTGAGGAGGCACACTTTACCTGTAGTAGCTTCCAATTGAAGAAGGCTTTGGAACGTTTTTGTTGTCAACGAGCCTCTGGTGTGATGATATCCGTGGTATTTGCGCACATTTCGCCCGGCGTCGTAGTGAGAGGCGAAAATATCCCGACCAGGGCGGTCCTAGTGAACACGGAACGAAATGTAGTGTTAAAAAAATATCCAACGGTGTCTGTATGATGTCTGTTGTCTGTGTGTCAGTGGCGGTCACACAACCGGAAGTGTTGTGCGTGCAGTGACGTAACCAGAGGGGGGGGGGGGGGGGGCCAGAGGGGGAAACTTGCCCCCCCCCCCCGCCGGATTTTTAAAATTAATCTTTTTCAGTAAGTATTTCCAAAAATGGTTACAGAGTTTTTACATCAACCCAAAACCTTGCAAACTGGCTCAAAAACTATTACATATATTGTACAACCATTAGCATATTATTTTCCAGTGTGCACAATAATGGCCAGTTTTGAAGAGCGCCCCCATTTGGAAGATAGGTACCAGCCGCCCCCCCCCCCTCCCCCCACGGAGGCCAATTGTCCGGAGAAAAAAAAACCCATTTGTTTACATTTCGGGGGCCCCCGACATCAAAAGCGGGATACGCTACTGGTGTGAAGTCACACATGATGTCTGATATAAGATTCATGTACGCTACTGAGGCGCATGCACATAATGTTGGATGCATAACTATGCAGTGCTCAAGTGATCTTTGTTGTGCTGGTGCAGCACCTTTTAAATCACAGTTTGGGACGTGAATAAATAATGTATTCCTTTTGTTTTGCCTGTTTGGCAAATTTGTTTTCTTACATCACTTTCAATACTTCTAGGAAAACGAAGAAATCCGCGGATACGCGAAAAAGTTTCCTGCTTCATTTCAATACTTTTGACTCGCAAGCGGGCTACTTCGAGAATGGTAGTGACAAGCCCGCCGCTATAGGGTCGAACCTGGATCTAAACACCTTTGATTGCGTAATGTATATAGCTCAGGCGCGGTTCTAGAACCAATATTTGGGGGGGGGGGGGGCTAGCACGGTGGATCCAGAATTTTTTCAGGGAGGCGTGCTGAAATGTAGACCGGCTATTTGTTCCAGACACTTAGGCCTCCGAAAATCAATAGGTGGGGGGGGGGGGGCGGGATCATGCCATATTTTTAATGGAGAGCACCAATAATATCATAAAAACATTCACACTATTTTAAGTAATGCACCCTCGTCACGGCTATTTCTTCTTTAGGGGGAGACCGTTCGCATGTACATCACATTCCTTCTTTTTGCTAATGCATTTTTTTTTAACGGAATTTAGTTGGGGGGGGGGGCTAGACAAAATTTTGGGGGGCTACAGCCCCCCTAGCCCCCCCCCCCCCCCCCCCCCCCGTAGAACCGCGCCTGATATAGCTATAGCTAATAATATTCACCTTTTCCTGTGGTTCACTGGGTCCTATAAGACACACCTTGCGACCAGGCAACGAGGCGTGTCTGGCCGCTGACGAACCCCATAATCCGGCCCCGACGATACAAACATCGTACATCATGTTCAGTTCCACAGGCAAATGTCGCCTACCCGTACCGAGTGTTGAACGTGAACATTTATGCAGATCAGTTCCAGTCATAGCTCTATGGTTCCTGTGTAGTCACAGGCTACTGCTTGTTAGTTTGATCGTGAACTTTGATCTCGAGCGAAACATTCAGTTCAAAAGGGGCGTTGATGTGCATGCATGCAGTAGTATAATTGTTGTCGACGCGACCTTAGCATTGCAATCATATGAAGCCCGGGAAGGGACAGGGTGGAATTTTTTTTTTGGAATTTCCTAATTTGTTCGCACGAATTCGTAATTCGTTCGCACGAATTGCTATTTCGTTCGCTGGGAACGAATTAGTAATTCGTGGGAACGAATTAGTAATTCGTGGGAACGAATTAGTAATTCGTGCGAACGAATTAGTAATTCGTGCGAACGAATTAGTAATTCGTGCGAACGAAATAGTAATTCGTGGGAACGAAATAGTAATTCGTGGGAACGAATTAGGAATTCGTGCGAACGAATTAGGAATTCGTGCGAACGAATTAGCAAACTCCCAAAAAAAATTCTACCCTGTCCCTTCCCGGGCTTCATACACAACACCACAACTGACAGTATAATTCAAATTATTAAAATCTCAAACTTAGGTTTTCCGTTCAACAACATATAAACACTGTATACTCAGTATTTAAGGCCCCGGTCCCCCCCCCCCCCACCCCCAGTGAAAGTGAAAAAAAAAACAGACTTGAATTATGTTAATGCGTCGTTGAAGGTCAAAACCTAGTATTTATTTACATCACCCCGGCCGACGCAAACACAATCCAGCTTTTGAATATGAACATGTCATTTCAATGCCCTGCTTGTAGTCTACAGCGCTATAGCTTCCAATGAGTTTCACAGACAGCTGTAAAATCGTTTCATTAAGTACATAACGTCTGAGAACATGGATCAATTTAAGTTATTTTTTCCAGATACTGAGGAACGTGCTCTTCATTTGTGTATCAAATTTGATTCCTTTAAAGGAGCAATAATACATTGTAATAAGGTCATTTTCATTTTGACTCACCTGCATATTATAACATGACCTACATAACGTATTTTAACGCAGTCCTCAAAAACGCACCTTTGTGTCCCATTTCAGTTTATTTTCAACTATAATTTTGCTATATTCAAGCTAATGCTAATGGTTTCCACATTCATGAGCAAAAGTGCGATATCATTTTAGACAGAAACATTAATGTTACAGCTATTTCAGCACCAAAGATTGCCAGAATTTTTGATATTTTGTTGTAAATTGTCTTGTCTTTGTTGATCCGTTGTCGTTTCAGTACATGACAATATATATATATTTAGATATTTAAGTTGTAAATTTTATTGGACTCTTATCAAAAGCAACGATAAAGGTCACGAACCTTTCAAACTATGCCCAGGGTATAGCCAGGTTATTAGATAACCGCCTGTACGGTCATGCGCAGCAGAGTAAGTCATGATCTCATAAAAACAAAACAGCGCTCACATTTTTAGAAGTGCGTAGGGCGCTACTGAAATCCAGTCGTTCTGCAGCAGACCTTCACCGTGATTTGATAGTTGCTACAACCATGACGTGTCCACGGTTTCTCGTCGCAGTCATCGTCTTTTTGGTGACAGCAGTCGCTCAGGTGTGCTTAAATATCGCGCGTTTGGTGTATTTTTATAACACCGTTCTACGCTTACAGAACGTCAACTCCAATATCTTCGTCTGAAGAAAGACTTAACTTCAAGAACGGATTTCAAGGATGTTTCAAATCACGCATTGAAAATACATGGTTCTTCTCACTGTGTTGTCATCTATAGCAGTTAGCAGACTCGTAAGTTCACAGACTTAATTGTGGTATTTTCATGAATTTGCTTTTGTTTTGTTTTCTGGGTAGGTTGGTGCTCAAGCAGACGCGACTTGCACCGGTATTAGCAAAGATGTATCTTGTAAGAAGGTAAGAGTCTCATCTTTGGGTCTTGTACCGTGGCCGATTCGCCTGTATTGATGGTTATGGCTTCGTTATTTATTATATATCGACATGCTAATCCGTTTGTCTTCTACACAATGTATATTAAAATGTTCGATCTGACAGTGGCTCGGAATCAGTTCAATATAAAGCGATAAGTCGGACAAAATCCAAAGCTAATGTTAAAACAGACCTACTCATTTTAGATGATTTTGTAATACTGCAACTTGAGGGGCGTCATGCTTTATATATGAATATATGTATAGGTTTATTGCCCGTAGTAATTTATCAAAAAAGTTATCAGCAATAGAACTTATAAAAGACAGTAAAACCCAAAGATTAAGGGTATTTTCACAACTCATCCACTCGTCATTTCCACAACGCACAGGTATAGCCAGTAACGTGAACACTTTAAAAAAGTTATCTGCCTTTAATCAAGTTCGAACACGTTCGTATCGCGACCTTTGGCCATTCGCAGTTATGCCCGGACATACCAGATACCACCAATATATCAATAAAAAGCCCGAAACACAACTTTAAAAAATGAAACTGCCCTTACCCCTTTTCAAGAATGTGTTTTCAGGTTGTTTCAGACCAAATCGAGCAGTTTTAATTTGTCGCATTTTTTTGAGAAAAAACCTGAATTCGGGTTAAAACCTGAAAAGTGACATCTCTTGTAGATGCCAGGTATTCGTTTATTCCCCCAACCCCCCGACCAAGCCAGTCCAACCCAACCCCACCCAACCAACCCAACCCAAGCAAGTGTGTATTTGCTTGCAATCGGGGACCCCCTATTGTCCCTCTTTTGTTTTTACTAACTTTTTAGGAAGACCTCCTTATATGTTTCGTACACGAATCCAAATTGGGGACCTTTGGGAATTGGGGACCCCATTGTCCTCTTTCGTTCAACGTCCCCTATTGAATGATGAAACCAACTCAATCCAACCCCACCCAATGATAGTTGCCTATGACAGTGATGTTATTATTCCGCGTGTATGTTTTTATGCTTTTTTCTCTGTGTATAATGTTTGTTTTGTGATGTCAAGTTGCCTTTATTGTTTTTCACAATATACCTTCAATTAAACAAAATGCTAATTAAATTCCCACAATTCTTGAATACAGTGCAGAGACAATACACACAAATGCATGCCGGGTGAGGTGCCTGTCGATGATTGGCTGATAGCAACAGCGAAACAGCAACGAGAGTTACAGGTGAGATTTGATTGAATTGTTGCCAAGCATTGAAGAGCAACTAAACGTTACTAGGGGCACACACCTTTTAATGTAGTTACTTGGGAATGACTATGTCTGGAAATGTTTGGAATACATTTTTGTATGCGCCATATAGTCACAATTCCCAATACCTATGCGTGTTCTATCACGTTTGTTTATGGTGTCAATCGAGGATTTTCTTTTGTTCCTCTTCCCTTTTCCCTTGTTTGTACTTTTCGCAACAGCTCCCCTCTCTCTCCCCCTCTCTCTCTCATTGGTTTTGTACACGTTTTCTAATGAGGTCGTCCTCAATTTGGTTCCTGTCCTCGATTCACTGATGATGTTGACGTGTGTATCCTCGATTTACACCATAAACAAACTCTGTTCATCAGGCGTAAAAGCAAACCTTCGGAAACCGGCAAGTTGAAAAAAAAAGGAATTGCCGGTGGTGAAAGCTAAACTAATTTGTTTAAAGTAAAGATTTGCACTTGATCAGCACTACGATTCTTTTTTTCAGTCTGATTCCAGCTCCCTTTAACTAAATCGGCGATTGTCCAATATTTCGCCATTATTAATTGAAACATTAATGATAGGCCTATCCAACTCGAGAAGACAATGGATGCTCAGTTTTACTCTACAAGCCGATTGTGTCGCTTGTTTTAATTTGTATTCTGAAATTCACCCTACCAAACATCCAACAAGTTTGTTTGCATTTTGCCTTTGCCCTGTAACAATGGTTTGATATGAATACTTCGTCGATAAGGTGACATTCTTATCTTGGCACTTAGTAGACCTACAAATAACACACAGGTCCACATGTACCAGGAGATAATATCTTCTCTTATCTAAAACGCATATACTTGACAACGTGATTTGAAACAAAATAAATCACCCAAATTTGTCTATACAATATAATTTAAGCCCAGTTTAAGGTCATACTCTTTTTATGTCATAATTTAACTGGGTTTCAATTATATACCACACTTCCAATAATAGATGCCACCTTGGATTACATTTCGCTGCATGTAAAACCGTGGGAACCTGAAAAGTCAATAGTCGTTTCAGAATAGACTTGAGGATTGGACTGTTTTAGATCCTAACCAAAAGACTGTATATTGTCAAGTGTTCTCCAACAGCCTTCTCGATTTTTTCCAATGAAACTGTTCGGTCGCAATCCTAGTTTTCTAGTCAGTTGTAGTTTACGTACTCATCATTCGAAGAATAAATCCCGTACTTTATTGGTCGGCAATTTGATTTTGATCAATGTACTTGTTTTTGATTTGTTGGATTGTGTGCGTTTTTTCATCCAACAGATTGACGAACCTTGGAATCGATTGCAAATGCTCGATGTGAGTCCGTATAATTTGTCCGTTAAATTTATATAATTATGGTTGATATGATGTCGTAGCCTGTATGGAAAACGATAATGGCACATCATTTTCATACAGTTTGATTCTTTACAAGCAGGACGATGGAGTACCATACCTTATTGTCCTGGTTTTATACTACACTGATTTAAAGACAAATTTCAGCCCATATGTAAACATTATTAGATACATAGCCTAAACACGTTACAGTACAACTCTACATACGACTTGAAGGTTTGCACGGTGTAAAGTCAATACATGAGGTTTCCGATAGCACCGTGCAGGCAAACCTCTTGTTTTGACGTTGTTTTATTCTTAAAAAGAATCGATTTAGTAACTCGACGTTTCAAAGTACGTGTGGTCTGATATATTTTTTGTTGAATATTTACTGCTGTATATTCCACCTGAACTCAAACGGTATCGGAAAGACACGTTTTATTGGAATGGAGACGAAGAATAACCAAGGCCCACTATCTTGACAATTTGTCTTTGGTATCACATTTTATTTCATAGGCACACAATGGGTACAACACCAGAGCATGGGGATATGGAGGTAGGTTCCTCCGTTCCTGACCCAAATGTCACCTGAAAATATCCCTTTTTTAACTATAACAAGATTCAAAGTGTATAAATAATTAGTCACAAAATTTCCTCGTCGTTTCTTTATTTGAGTAACAAGTGACCACTGACGTTGCCCCTTAAGTGAAATCAGTCGATATTGTTGCGACCAACGCGGGCAAGAGTTAAGAAATAACTGTATATTCCAGATCTCGGTTGCATACACTGGTCTACCGATTATATCTGGCAAATATCACACTACATACCGTAGAAATTACACCGTTAAAGTAGAACCTAATGCCTTATAGATTTAACCATATACTTCTTTTCCCATTTTGTTTATCATTGGATCCTGGAAGTCAATGACACATGTCCATGGTCGCCTCCAAATCCTTACCCAATGGACTGCAACAATTACGCCAACCAGGAGTTCAGCTTCACGGACCTACTGAACATGGGTGTCAGGGCAGTGGAGATTGACAACTGGTTTTGCTTTAACGAGGTAAAAGAAGTCTACTGTTATCATTTCCGACTGAATTTCAGATTCATTCCAATTCCTTCGAATTTTTTTTTAAGTTAGGAGGCGAATCTGAAAACAGACGAAGCCAAGATTTCTACAACGCGTATAAGGTTGGTCAGGCTATAAATTCTCGACTCGAGTCCCTATTGGGTAAATGACTCGATCGACTCGACTCAAGTCACTGTAACTCAACTAGGAGCTTTACAGCAATAAGACTCGTGTCCTAAAATAAAAGAAAAACTTTGCATAAGATATTAGCAATGACTCAAGGTGCAAAAATTATGTCACGCCATTTTGCGAATACAGCACGGTACTGTACAGCAGCCGCTTGACATGTACAAACATACATGCAATTATACAACTTGTTTATTCGATATATTGTGTTCAAATATTAGTGACTCGAATTCTCTCAAGCTAAATATTTGGCTCGACTCGACCTTCTTGACCGAGTGACTGGACTCGACTCGAGTCACTTCATTAAAATGATTCGACTCGACTCGAGTCACAAAAATCAGTGACCCGTCACAACTCTGGCCTTTGCAGACGATTGGTGGTAGCAAACATGATCAGTCTGTTCAAGGTCCCACTGGTATACACTACTCATCAAATCAGAAAGCCAATAATAAATCAATCTAAAACTATAAATAGACCTCGTACTCCTTAAATTAGTTTCATATTTGGCCTTCAGAAATATTCTGCTGTTTGGGTCGAAAAGTCAGGCAATCCTATTTTACGATCTATATTTCAAATTGCTCGACTCACCAAATGGTTCGCAGTAACCTAACCATCTTTTTTTTAATGAAATCTATGAGATTTTAAGCGTGGCAAGAATGACACTTTAGCGGCGTTTCGAGCTCTTGGCTTCTTCGAATTTGAACTCCTTCCTGTCACGAAAGATGTTTAATTTAGAGACCTTCATTGCATGTGCAAAGCAAATTAAGAAGAAATAGCGTCAACTTTGGGCTCGGATATTTCCTGAGGATGAGAACTGACCCGAATTGACACGTATTAAAATGTATATTAAAGTACTGACAAGTATAAAGTATTGACAAGTATAAAGACGTCTGTTTATCATTATCTTCACAATGTCGACTGTTACACACAACTATTTGCAGATGCGCATGGCACACTTGGGCAGTACGATCGATCTTGAGTGCAGTGTGTATGATAGGCTTTTCTCAGACGGAATCAAGGAGATCGCTGATTGGATAAATCTCCCTGGTAACGGGGAGGAGATGGTTAAGATCTACATGAACGTAAGTCCTTAGGCAACTGCCCGTGTATCAGGATTAGATTATCAAGATTTCGGAAGTTTTGACCATGCTCATTTGAGACTAAACTTTTCGCTGTAACTGCATGCGTGCCGAACCAAAGGAGTTGTAGCTACGACCTGATTCTTGTTCTGGAGTGGGCTTTGTACACAATGCCTTTGAGTGCTTTTTTATAAACAGTATATTTTTGAATTTCATATTTGTGTGAAGTATTGCTTTCCCTTGTTTTAGTTGCATGCAATGTGAATTTCCTAATTGATTAGAGTTATTGTCTTTATGTCTTTGCCCATTACAACTGCACGTTGAAGCATGCTGACGAAAGACGTCTCCGTAGATATGGACGTCCTTTTCGAACTTGGTTATACTTTGTGCAATTCTAGACAGGGAAAAGAGGACTAGAACGACAATTCTCACGTTTTCCTATCTCTTTTAACGATTATTACAGGAGAAGTTTGATCAAGGTAATGACGACTCGGTCAACAATCCTCTGAGAGACTACATGGGTGAACGCATACTGACCCCGGCAGACCTGAAGAATACGTACGGTGGACAGTGGCCCACGCCTAGGCAGTTGAGAAAGGTACAAAATATACTCGCACTACACCCTCGGTATAGGCTAGTCCGCAATGTATTCTGTGCGAGTGGGCCAACCCTTAAGATATAGTGCCGAAACTCTGACGCACCTCACAATATTTTGAGGTTTTCAGGCATATTACTTTGGCTACTTTGGATGAAAAGCCTTTTGGGTTTTTTTTCAGTCAGTTTTTGGTTTTAGTACCAGTTCATGCCTCACACGAATGCATAGAGAATATGACTTAACGACGATTTCGCGTCAAACATCGGCGGAGTTGAAATGTATTCATCAGATTGTGCACAATGGCAGCGCGAAACTATGACGTAAAGTCATTTATACAAGATCGTGTATGTTTTCGTTTTTGCACCGAGTTCAAAGCACCATTCTTTGCAGGGCATGAAAGAGCTATCGATGTGCATGACATTTTTGTTCGTGGAGTACGTGACCATTTTGTTTTGTTCAACAGGCCGGAAAGAACGTAGTGATTGCAACAGGCAGTACTGCAGGAAGCGGCGAAGTTTACCCACATGGGGGCGTGTACATCCACAAGATATACTGGGAGGACTTGCAGATGAGATATGTAAGGTACCAATTTTTGAGCCATTAAATATTTGTACTTAATGGCTACTATTATATTAACTTGTGGTGGGGAAGCATTCGCCTCTATAAGGTTAGGCCTAAAGCTATTTTCAAATGAACTACAAAGGAAAACAATTCTGTGATATTTACATTACACTTGGATTATGTTGTGTGTGTCCTCTTTAATGGGAATCTTTTTAATCATTTTCTTTCTTTTTTTCAGTTTACATCTTATCCACAGTGCGGCACTAAGAATCTTACCAACGCATTGCGTTACTACAGTGACTCCACGCATTACGGAAACAGCACACAGTAAGATATCCGTAAATATGAGGAGCCTTTTTCGTTTGGGTTTGATTTTGATTTCTTTTGTCAACTATCAGTGGTGGAATCACAAATCACAATCGCAAGCATGTGTCAGTAGGCCTACTCAATGCTCAAATTTTTACGAAGGTATTATCGTTATTCCACTAAATGTTCCATTAGGGAGACACGTTATCGTAATTTCTTCCATTATAGGGAGACAACGGTCATTAGGGAGACACATAACTGTCTCCCTAATGTCACAGCCCCTTTAGAGGCAAAATGTTACTGTCGCAATTAAGTTATATTTGTTGCTCGTGGTCTAATTAGTTAAACTACCGACATTCGTGGAGAAAGGACAAGGGAATATTTCGTTAGGGCACATTTAAGTTGGAAAAATATGTGTGCACAAGTCTATGGGAAAGTCTCCCTAATGACCCATTCCCGGTAGTATTAATATTATTATTTATTCGCCCTCACTGCAAGATACAAACGCAATATAAAACATGATGAATGGAACTTTAAAAAAAAAAGAGTAAACCTCGTCACACAGGCATTCAGTCCCAATACAATAAAAAAAAACATACATTTAAAAAATACATTCATCAAAACGACCATTTAAACATAATTATACGAACATTAAAAATACACAACATTAATAAATAAGATGTGATATAAATAAGAATGTGAACAAAAATATTGAAAAAAAAAACATTTAAAACTAGCACGTCAAAAATGATAAAAATTTGCTAAAACAAGAATGACATTTTGTTAAAAATGTCCACGGTTTTTTTCTTTTTCTTTTCCTGCTCATAATCGGTCAATTTTTTTAATTTGGAAGCAAACTTGACCCTTGAGATTATTTGCAAACGTTCCTTATGAGCATACCTCAAGATCCGTAAAGTCGAGGACATACATGAATTGGATTATGATGTAGCCAATCAGTACGAGCAGTAACATGGATCAACTTTCAATCGTCTTGACATTTACCCGCAAAAACAAAAATAAAAAAATTATAAAAATGCTGTTAAAAATCAAATAGGTTTGTTCTTTTTTCTTTGCCTGCTCATATACAATTTCAATACTTAATTAAGAAGCACAGGTATAACTAGATATCTTACAAGCATTTTTATGTAACCATACTGTTTAGAAACAATTTTTGCTGGTGCTCCTACTTTCAAGCCCATCTAATTTTGGTGTTTTTCTTCTAGTTTGAAACACGACGGACCAACCAACGGGGCGGGAGTCATTTATGACTTCACTGAGTTCGTCAAGTGTCGCGTGCAGTACCCAGCTACGGACATGATCACACCGGACCTGATCAAGACTGCCCTGTTCACATGGGCTGAAGGGCAACCCGACGCTAAGCTCACCAAGGAATCATGCGTTTGGATCAGGTATGGTGAAAGAAGTTTAAACACAATTTTTACCCTTTTTTGTGCCTCTGATTTAAAAAAAAAAAAAAATGGGCTGACTTCACTAACTGCGCGTGATTTCTAATTTCAGTGTAATTTGAATTTATGGCCTTGATAATCATGAAATATCTGGCCTTTTGCGGTAGCTATTATAGCCACAACCGTATACCCAAATGTCGGGTCAGGGCTACATTAAGGGCTTGGGTAGCCCAGGTTGGACACCGTCTTCATTGCATTTCCCTCCGTAACGTAGGGAGGTAATTAAGGGGGTCCAGCTGGGCCGGGGCCGGGGCTTGGGCTACATTACTGCGTTTCTTGGCTTAAATTATGTATCGCATAGATCTTCATCTCCAAGTACATTATTGCGCGTCTTTCCATAATTCTTGGACAATTTTCCGCTCTATTTTCGAACCAGCAAAACAGACTGGCGTTGGTACCTTTCCAACGACTGCTCCACTAAGCTGAAGTACGCATGTCAGAGCACGACCGACCCAGATGATTGGACAGTCAGTACATCCGCTGTCTCCTACGACCCAAGTAGCGACGCCTGCCCAACTGGGTACAAGTTCAGCGTGCCTCAAGACGGATTCAGGCATCAGAAGGTGGGGCCCCCATGGTTGCAGACCAGTAAATAAATTCCATATACCCCAATGATAAATACCCCCATATCAGAGAATCAGGAAAAATACGCACGACTCTCATATGTGTTCAAGACGTACATCAAATTAAAGCATATTTCGTCATTTTTTTTCTTGGAGGTTAATCAATGAGTTTTTGGAGAAAATTCCATCCAAAGATGATCACCCCTTAAAGCAGTCCTGAAGCCCATCGCCATTTTGAAAATGGACGCCTACGCTCGATTGCCAAATAAGCCACATTTCACAGAAATACGAGCTCGCAGTCCTCTTGCACATCAAGTTGACGGCCTTCAAAATGCTGTAATACTGAATTTGAGGGCATGCAAATCATGATTTGGCCGGCGTAGGCAGTTTGGGACCGATTTACTGGCCTGCACTCCTATGTGGACCTTAGTTTATATGCCATACATGAGGTAATTACGGGCGCCATCACGAAACCATTTCAGCGAATAACGACGCGAGTACAAACAATAGATGATGAAAAGTTCATTGAAGCAGTTTGGTAACAATATGTATATCTGAAAAAAAATCTAGATTTTACAATTATAATTTTTTAGCTGTGGCAGTAGGCCTACATAAACTTATGACAAAACTTTGGATTCACATCTGTTGTACCGGTGTCATTACAGCGCGGGAATAAGTACCATGGCGACTTAATTATAAAGGCCCATTGCTGTATAGCTTCGTAATTATAAAGGCCCATTAAAGAAATTTGGGGATAGGCTGAAGTAACCTGCCTGAACAGGTGTGGGTATTGAACAAAGAAAATTGATGAGGAATGTTCGAAAGTCTTGTTTTTCTTATCCGAGCCAAACACCAATTTCAATTATTAATATCTTTCCATTTTCAGTTGAAGGATGCGTCGAAGGACAACTCCGTTTGGATCAACACCACACCCTGGCTCCCAAATGGTGCAGGAACGCCCTCTTGTGGCCAGCTGATGTCCCTCGTGGCTTTGCTTGTGTGCCTCTTCATTAGCAACAACTTCTACTAAACAAATTAAATTACAAACTTGAACAACATAAATATATTTGCAAAAACAAAACTAGAGATCTATGTCTGTTTGCAACAGAACATGGGGCTTTTCCGTATTATGCTTTTTTTTTATAACACGTCCCAGACTATGCATGTACTGTACAACGTCCCAAAGTATACGGTACAAGAATGTAACTAATTTATTATTTAGCGTCTGTGAGATACATTATCAACAAAAAGAAATCAATCCATATTAAATCAGACGTATCGGACTACCTTCATACGCAACTTTGACCCATTCGGACTGATAGTTTTCTCCATATGAGACTTTAAAAATGCACGTCAATGATGACGGCACATGCCTTACGATGAGGTCATCTTGATAACACTTTTCAGCATTGTGGTCTTGGTTTGTACCAAGCTTGAAGTCAATCCAATGAAAGGAAGTGTTAAATTCTGGAGCGGAATGAAATTGTAAATATAAAAAAAATCATAAAAAATCATGCGATGACATCATGGTGACGTCATTTCGGATTTTGCATACTAGCACCATTGTCTAGCTATCCACCAAGTTTCATGACGATCTGACTTTCCCTTATGTGTTTTCAAAAATTGCATTTTTGATGACGCCATCATGACGTCACACGTTTTTCAAATTTTGTTCAAATACCTTTTACCTAACAAACAAACTACAAATAGAATTTTGAATTTTGCATGTTGCGTTCGTGAGATATGGCTTAAAGGTCCAAAAATTCAAAAAATTATATAAAATCGCACGATGACGTCATGATGACGTTACCTCAATTTTTACATATAACACATCCCGGCCTATCTACATACCGAGTTTCAACCCAATCAGACTTGCAGTTTTGCAGATATAGGACTTTAAAATATGCACATTTGTGATGACGTCACTCTTCGGCATACAACTTTGCTATAGGGGCTATGCCTGTGGTAACTTTGAATGATGTATGACAAAGATTTGTGCCAAAAGTGGCACTGAGAAAAAACGTGTACAAAGTCTATGAGATTTAAGCGACGAAAAAAAGAGGAAAGAAAAATATGAGAACCAAGAAAAAGGCTTTTCCGCAACTATGCAGAAAAGCCAAAAAAAAACATATTTCTTGAATTAAGGAATCAAATATTCTAAAGTAGATTTCTTTTTGGTGTGCACAGTTTGCACTGTCTGTGGATGTGTTATATACATGTATAAGGTATCAGTCAATCAACTGTCTCCAACACCAATTTCAGTTTATTTTATATCACCCTTATATTTCATAATAGCTAACTTTTAACCAATAAGCATGAAATTAAAAATTACCAATGTACATGTACCTGTAGATTTCTATGTGACCATACAATTACCCACTCCTGTAAACAGTATATACAACATTTTTCAACTGAATAAATTTGAAACCAATGTAATTAACATTTCATGTAGCATATCTTGAACTAAACAATGAGAAAAAGGAAATAAAAAGTACTTAACTTGTGATTGTCCAATCATTCAGTTGCTCCTCTCAATTCATTAGTTTGTACAAAATTCAAAATATGAACAATTTATACATGCATCTTGAAACGATTATTTTCCTAAATCAAGTGTCCCCCAAAATGCAAGAGTTTTCAATTGTTTATTTTTGTTGACACTCCATAAGTCGCTTTTGCTCCAAAGCCATTAAAAACCCCAATTAAAAATCCCTTACGACCATATTAAGTAACAGGATGACTCAATATGAAAGGCACATGTACGATGTTCTTGTAATCGAATGGGTGATGAGCTGAACCATGCTGGAGTCTTTAGAGTTTTTCAATAAGCCACCATCATCTCCGGATTAAACAGTGGTGCAACCAAGGGCCCCCCCCCCCCTCCAGAGGTTGTCTTTTTTTTTTAAGTCCCACAATTTGACCTTGGTGATGTGTATGTGACCTATTTTCGAGTAGTATAATAGGGGTGTAAGTCCACCCTCCCCCCTAAAAAAAACCAATTTTTTTCTGCTTCAAAAAATGTTGGGCAAGATTTTTTGAAAAAAATTGTAACTTATAAGATCCCCTCCCCCCCCCCCCCCCCCCCCCCAGCTGAGATTAAAGTGTTCAGTACATCTGGTTCCTCGGTTTAATAGTGTTTTTCTGCTATAGGAACATCATATTTTATAAAATTGGGTGTAACAAGAACTTTTATATAACTGACATACAGATCCTTGTGATTTAATTGGTGAAACTTGAATCACGCGACATTCATATTAATGCTCCCATTCACACCGGGGCTCAAAAGTCCCATTGGCCCATGGTAAATGGGATTTACTATTCAACATTTGATTTATATCACCCCGATGCAAAATTCCATATTATAATACTATTCAACAGTTAGGATCCTGGTTCCATGGTGCAGTATTTGTGTGCAAATGCATGCTGGTGTGCGCATTGAGCAGTGCGCATAGCACAGATTATCATGATTGTTCCCAAGAGCCAGTAGCTACAGAGTTGAGTTCAACCATTTCTTGAAGGGGTGGTTTGGAAGAAAGAAATACATTTTCCACCTATTTTGTACTGAAATAGAAGTTAATTTTTAGTGTAAATCAAATGGCAAGGATCTATTTGTCAGTTATATCAAAAACAAATATTGATTGTGAAATGGGAGGAATATTATCGCTTGGTAAACTCTGGACTTGTTCATTTCACTCAGCTTTCGCCTCCTGAAATAGAACAGTCCAGATTTTACCATGCAATAATATTCCTCCCATTCCACTCTGAGCCACTCAATATTTCTATACCATTTAGTTCTACAGGTTTCTCAAGGATTTTAAAGAAGATAGAGCCAAAGCAAGGAATAAAGACAGGGTTTGGAAAGTGCCCCATTTTTTTTCATTCTCGGAACAAAATTCACCATCCTTACCTGAAATGTTCACTCATTGAACATGACACCCGTTCATCTGGGATGGACAATACACATGTACACCCAATGCCAGCAGATTACACAAATGCAATGGCATGTTTACTAGTTCAAAAGTGTGTTCCATGGACCAAATTACAATCAAAAACTGTTCATGACTGAAGTTCGTTAGGATCTCTTTTTGTACTGTTCTTGCGATACCAGTCTTTGAGAGTTTATTGTGCTGTTTGCACATGGCTTCTCCGATGAACACCACCAGATGTTGTGATTTCAAAGGTCACCGCAACGTTTGGGTTCTGATGCGTGATCATTTGGTCGGCATGATCAGCTTCGACCTCTTCAACCATCTCAGATCCCTGCATCAGCTGGTACTGCTGCGCTGCCTGAACTATCGCCGGAATTCCACTCAGGGATTGACCTTCATGGGTGACCTTTAACCCCATCTGTGCCCTATCTATCATGTCTTGCACTGTGTGGAGTACCGTGTTCTCCCCAGTGTGTGGACTTATTTCATGCACCTCCAGTGTGCTCAGGTCTAAGGCCTTCCCAAAGTGCTTTTCATTCATGTGTCGAGTCAGCGCATGCTTGTGCTTGTAGGATTTCCCACACGCCCCGCACTGGTAGAGTTTCAAGGCGGAGTGTTTGCGGTAGTGGATGCTCAATTCACTCTTACGTTTCCCTACCCAATTGCATTGATCACACTTGAAAGTCATCTTGTCCCGAGGAATGTGAACAAGTTGATGGGAGTACAGTTGCATCTTGGTCTTGCCGACGTAGTCACATTTCTCGCAAGGGTACACACCATTTTGGTGAGTCTCCCGATGACAATTAAGGATGACCTGGGTCTTGTAGTCTTTGCCACAGACTTCACAGATGAACATGCGAGTGTCGGTGTGTGACTCGATGTGACGCTTCAGGTAGTACTTGTTCTTGGTCTGGTGTGGACACTGAGGACACTGCAGCCACTCTCTGGTATCTTCAGCATGATGAGCTTCAAAGTGAGTCTTCAAGCTTGACCGCCACCTGCTCTTGAATTTGCACAGGTCACAGTAGAAGAATCGGTCTTGATGTTTCTTGCGGTGCCGGCGCAGCGCTCCAGAAGTCTTGAACCCCTTTTTGCAGAAGTCACACTTGTGTTGGCGGATTTCGCTGTGGGATGCCATATGCTCTGTCAGTCCCCTCTTCTCTTTGCACTGTCTGCCACACAGCTCACAGGGATACATCCGGGGCCCCTTGGGTTTCTTCTGTTTCAAGGCCGGACAGCAGTTGTTGCGTCTGTGTACCTTTACTCCCTTGATGGATGTGAAGCCCTTCTTGCAATGCACACAGCCGTATTTCTTTTGTCGTCGTTGCTTGTGACTCTGCATGTGTACTTTTAGACTGGTCACAGCAGTGCCGACATACTTACAGTCTGGACAGGGGAACTCCTTGCCGGTAATTGGTATCCCGATGCACCTCTTCAAGTCTTTATGGCGTTTCAAGCTTTCTGTTGATGCAAATCGCATTAAGCAATCTGGACACTGGAACTTCTTCTTGACAACATTTTGCTCCTTCAAAGGGGAAACTGCCTGGCTCTGCTGGGACTCCTTAGGTCTATCCTCAAGTTCCTTCTCCGACTCTTGAACCTTCTTATCGCTCTGCTTGTCTACTTCATGTGCATCTTCTGCTAAATCCTCATCTGTCTCCTCCTCAACATCAAAATCATCATCACTATCATCACCATTGGATTTGTCCCCAGACGCCAAGTTTCGCTTCCCAGGAGAGAGTACCACAAAGTCCTTAAATTCTTTGGGTTTGCGATTTGCACTTTGTCTGAGCCCCGGTCTCAATGAAATCTGGCTAGGCACAGGTGGAGCTGCCTGGCTTTGTTTACTTTGGACAGAAGCTCCTTGGGGGGTTACTTTGGATTGCAAGCTTTCAATCCTGACCACTTTTGGCAACAGAGATTTTGGACGGCCTGGTCTTCTTCTAGAGGTTGACTGCATAGGCACTCTGACTAATTTTGGTTGGAGGTTGGGCTGCACAGAGACAAATGGTAAGAAGACGGCGTTGTTTCCAACAGGCACTGCACCAGTGATCTTCTGTGGGCCCCTACACACTGCTTGCTGTACTGGAACAGCAATGACGGTACTCTGTAATAGGAAATAGATAACAAGATGGTTAACTTTTGAATGAACCAAATTATAAACTTCCAAAATGACCTTTTAATAATATACAACTTATTTCTGGCTCATGTAGTTGTTTAAGGACCAAGGTATTGGGGCTAAGAAATGTTTGTCTTCCTGATAAACAATTCGATACTTGTGAAATCTATTGAGATGGGTAAGACATCAACTTTAGGAGTCTAAGGCAGAGGCATTATCGATTACATGACAAAAGCAGTGACATTTGTACCAGAATATATGTCCTACGTCACAACTTCAGAGCATCAAAATTAGTTGAAAGAATTGCTAGAACCATCCTCCAAATTTTCTTGTGGATTTTCTACGGTCTGCAAGAGTAAGTGTCCACTTTCTTCAGATGAATAAGTTCTGTACCTGCTGTGGGGTTGCAGTAGGAGTGACATCAGCCTTTCCTTGGTTCCTCCTCGTCAGTTCTCTCTCCAACATCTCCTCCAAGTCACCTTGAGTCAAAGAATTCTCCTTGCTGCTTGTGGCAAGGGAGGACGGGTTGTCTGCACCTTTGAGAGTCTCCCATTCTCTAGCATGCTTGTCCTTATTTGGCAAATGAGAAAGATAGGCATGAGAGAGTCAAACAAAATGCCAACATTTCTTTTTATACACAAAGATATAGGAAGTGTAAATTTGAATTCCTTCTACCAGAAACCTGATTAAGCTACGTAAAGCTAGAAACCTGAATTGGAAGAATTGACAAACATGTAGTATCAATCCTTCATAGAATTTTCTTTCAAAAAAATTGTCATATTACATTATTAGTATTTTCAAGATTAATCCGAAAGCAAACTTAACATGTATCAATCTGAATTAGTACTGAATTGTAATTCCCAAAAATTGCCCCAAACACAGCATCGACCCAACTTTAGTATAATGGGGACTGATTAGGACTGTCCCAACTACAGTAAGGACTGTCCCATTTATGGTTAGGACTGTCCCAACTACAGCAAGGACTGTCCCAAGTACAGTAAGGACTGTCCCAATTACAGTTAGAACTGTCCCAACTACTGCAAGGACTGTCCCAACTACAGCAAAGACTGTCCCAACTACAGTAAGGACTGTCCCAACTACAGTTAGAACTGTCCCAACTACAGTAAGGACTGTCCCAACTACAGCAAAGACTGTCCCAACTACAGTAAGGACTGTCCCAACTACAGTTAGAACTGTCCCAACTACACTAAGGACTGTCCCAACTACAGTAAGGACTGTCCCAACTACAGTAAGAACTGTCCCAACTACAGTTAGAACTGTCCCAACTACAGTTATAACTGTCCCAACTACAGTAAGGACTGTCCCAACTACAGTTAGAACTGTCCCAACTACTGCAAGGACTGTCCCAACTACGGTTAGAACTGTCCCAACTACTGCAAAGAATGTCCCAACTACGGTTAGAACTGTCCCAACTACTGCAAGGAATGTCCCAACTACGGTTAGAACTGTCCCAACTACAGTAAGGACTGTCCCAACTACAGCAAAGACTGTCCCAACTACAGTAAGGACTGTCCCAACTACAGTTAGAACTGTCCCAACTACAGTTAGAACTGTCCCAACTACAGTAAGGACTGTCCCAACTACAGTTAGAACTGTCCCAACTACTGCAAGGACTGTCCCAACTACGGTTAGAACTGTCCCAACTACTGCAAAGAATGTCCCAACTACGGTTAGAACTGTCCCAACTACAGCAAGGACTGTCCCAACTACAGCAAGGACTGTCCCAACTACAGCAAGGGCTGTCCCAACTGCAGCAAGGACTGTTCCAACTACAACCAGGACTGTCCCAACTACAGCAAGGTCTGTCCTAACTACAGTTGGGACTGTCCCAACTACACTTGGGACCATTGCTATAGTTGGGCCATAACAAGGTATGATGTGATGCTAGCTACATGTACCTTTAGATGCTTGGTGATGGCCGTCTTTCGTGTTGAGTTGAAACTGGAGCACAGCTTACACTGAAATACTTCAATGACAAAAGCTGACGAACATTGCTGAGCTCTGCTCCAGTCTTCGTCCTCATTGGAAGCAGTCAGTTGGTTGGCATCACTGCTTGGTTTATCCTAAAAAAAAATTGGAGAAAAACACAAGACAGTGATTGTAAATATCAAATTTGCTGCCATGTTATTTCAAAATGTTACAGTGCATAGTAAATACAACAAGGTTACGATAAAAAAAAATATTAAGTAATGCGAATGCTGTAAATCCTTTCATTCTTATTATTTCTTTCACGTGGACTTTTGCATAACTTGCAATCAGGCAACTCCTGAAATGTTAATGCTTACCTCAGTTTCTGGCCTTTTGTCTTCAGTTGCTTCATCTGTTTCCATAGGAACCACATTATCTGCTCTCTCGGAGGATGATGGAGTTTGCTGTGTACCAGTTGGCTTGTCACTTGCACCGTTGTCTTCTTCCAGACTCACACTAGCCACTTCAGATGCCATCGCTGCGCATTTATGTCGGCAAAATTGCAAGGGTCCAAATGTCTGGAATGACACAACAGTAAATCACATATTAATTGCATTACCTTACCTTCATATACCCTTGAATTTGATACAGGGATGATGAGTTGATCTAATGGCAATATATCTCTTGAGGAGGTAATCAAATAAATCATTACTTAACAAACACGTTCAATCAGGGGAGTCCTGTCCATCACAATCATGCCTGTGCCATTTTAGCAACTTGGTCAAGTTTTATATTCGACTATTAAAGGGAATATACATCATTTGCTTTTGCTGTAATTTTCAGAAATGGATGGAATTGGGGGGTTGGAAATATATAGCAAATATAGTTACACTGACTTTTTTGGGGTTTTGGGTTCAAAAATGCTATAAAAACCAAGAAAAACAATCATTTTCCTGTAGTCTGGTTCCCTGACTCCATTTAAGAATAAACAGAGCAGTTTACATACATTGGGGAATTGTAAGGTCAGGGAACCAGTCTAGCTGGCTTGTACCCATTCATAGGTGTGTAATTGATTGCGAACAAGTGCGATGGTCAACTGGGGCCAGTATTTGAAAAAAAAAAAGTTTTTTCCAACGCTGATCGGCCGATCAGCGTTGGAAATTGATACAAAAATACCACTTTTCTTGAAAATGACAGTATACCAGGTGCCATGATTTTACAGGATGCTTTACACTGTCATTCACTAAAAGTCCAGCAAGGTATTTCAAAATGATTTGGTAGTTTTATTTTTTGATGTTTGCAAATGTTGTATTTTCCCTTTAATATACAAACGTAGTATGTCTTTCTAAAGAAAATAAATCCACCCATTGAACGTGCTCTAAAGTCCGATATTCATCTGGAAATATTGCAATATCTAGACGTTTAGGTACCCCCACTAGCAATTGTGTAGTTAAGGGCCCTGTTACTATATGAGCACAAAAATCCTCTTCTAGGTTATTGGACTTACATGTATTATACACATATAGACTGCCAATGAGGTCACTAGTGCACGTCTATGCAACCCGAGGAACTGTGAGTGACCAGAAGAGGTTTATATCCCGAGGCTAAAGGCCGAGGGAAATAGGACCCTCTTCTGGTCACTCCCAGGCCCGAGGGGAACATGGACCTGCACTAGGGATCGAACTATGCCAGTCAATATGTGTTGTATAACTCACCTCTGTCCAAAATATAAAATAAGAAAAGAAACCTTTCAAAGTATCAGGGTTTTATTATTGAACTGTTTTAATTCAACAATTAACTCATAAGCAATTTAACTGTAAGCAATTCAACAATTAAAGGAATGCTTTTAGTTTCCCAAGATTAAATTGTTAGTTTGAATTGAGTTTTGTCAGAGGGCACTGTTTCCAGTCAAAAATTGTTGAGTAAAGTGCCCGATCAGTCACTATACTCTGCAAATTACGCGCGCGCGATGTCTCGACGCGCGTCTAGTTCACCATGTTCATCATGTTCATGGTGAAGCAAGTTTCATACACTAGTCTATATTGGTGAATCACACGTGACCGCATTTTAGCCAACCAGGATAAAGAACAAGCAAGAGGTGTGTTATAAACCAAACTAACTTGTGGCATTTAAAACCAACAAGAGTGTTGTATAGAAGGTACATTTTTTTATTTTTGAGGGAAGTTGCAGGATAATACAATGATGACGACAAATCAAAACATGGATATAAAGATGGCCATCACCATCAACTGTTAATAAATGCGAAACAAAATCACATTTTTACCAACAGAATCTGTCCTCAGTAACAAAAAAATGGTCATTAGAATTGAAGGGAAAGAATGTTGCAACCTGACGGCTGATGCCACTTCAGCGGTTGTATACAAAGTCTATGGAAAGCTCGAGAGTCAAGAACATTTTTAAGTATTTCTTAACAAATTGGAAATGTTTCTAAGTCATTGTCAGTCCCAGATTCATGTCTTATCATCATTTTTGCAATGGATATATGAAGAAAAAAAAGCATCATGTTGCAACATTCTTTCCGAATTAAGAGAAGTCTGTTTTAGTTTTGTTTGCAGAAGTCCATTTTGGATGGAAAACAGTATTGTTGACTCTAATTTGACGGAAAGTAAAGTGGCCAAAGGCCCGTGACTATACAATCAGCGGAAAGAATATACTATCATGACTATATAGTATCCTGTAGCCCGACTGCATCTGGCCGTACAGTAGGCTACTATCGCAAGCTCTGTAGTACGGCCAGATGCCCAATGCTCCCCTAAATGCTGAACTCTGATGTAGCGATTTTGCTACCGATTTTGATCGAGATTATCTTCTCATCCAGGACAGACATTTCCAAAGTTAAGGTTCCTAGTCGTAAAGGAACTCATACCTTTTGAAAAAAAAACGTTCTTTTATCTAAAAATCTTCATCCATCTGACCAAAAAACAACTTTCAATCATCATCTCCAACGAATATCGTCCCGAAAATGTTCCTCCATGCGATTTCAAAATGGCGGCCGCGTTGTAATGTATGCATTATGCGGGCGCACTTGGGCAAGATCATGAATATGCATTTAGTAATTTAGTTCATTACGTTTGCCAGGCACGCGGGGCGGCTGGCCATACAAACATGAGGTCATGAACTGAATAATGCATATTCATAATCTTGCTCAAGCCCGCCCGGCGCCCGCATAATGCATACATTACAACACGGCCGCCATTTTGAAATCGCATGGAGGAACATTTTCGGGACGATATTCGTGGCAGATGATGATTGAAACTCATTTTTTGGGCAGATGGATGAAGATTTTTAGATAAAAGAACGTTTCTTTCAAAAAGGTATAGTTCAGTCGGAAAAGGGGGGTATCGTGCACCCTCGGAAATCAATTTCTAATCAACGTCTCTAGGTCAGAAAAAATGCATAGAAAACGATTTGCTATGTTAAAAAATTAAAAAAATGTCCCAGGTATTGTTTTTTATGCAAATTAGTGCCGCCATTACCGAAAAATCTATTTTTAACTATATCTCAGCCAATATTGCAGGTAACTGAACGAACTAGGTGTCTAAACCCATGTTTTCAAGGTCAGGGATCACAATAAAACTATTCTGGAAGTGACCACATATGTCTGTGGCATAGGAATATGCAAATTAGTGCCGCTAATACCGGAAAATCATGTTTTTGGCATATCTCGGCCAATATAGAACATAACTTCACCAGTAAGGTGTCTAAACCCATGTTTTGAGGGTCAGGTATCATTAGAAGACCATTCAAGAAGTATCTATGTGTGTCTTTGGCATGAAAATATGTAAATTATAAAGTGTCGGTTTATCAGATATTTGATTTTTAGCCAATATCTCGGCCAATATTGAACATAACTACACAAGTGAGGTATCTAAACCCATGTTTCGAGGGTCAGGTATCATTAGAAGACCATTCACGAAGTAACTATGTGTGAGGTTTGCATGAAAATATGTAAATTCTAAATTGCCGGTTTATCAAAAATTTGATTTTCAGCAAATATTATATTCAATTTCAGCCAATATTACAGTTTATTTTTAATATGATGGCTGAAAATCAACCTTTGATCATTACTGCTTATCAAAAACCCTTCTGTCAACATTAGCTGCAATATTGGCTGAGATATTGGCTAAAAATCACATTTCTAATACATCGACACTTAAGAATTTACATATTTACCTGCCAAGGACACACATAGTTACTTCGTGAATGGTCTTCTAATGATACCTGACCCTCAAAACATGGGTTTAGACACCTCACTTGTGTAGTTATGTGCAATATTGGCCGAGATATTGGCTAAAAATCAAATATCTGATAAATCGACACTTTATAATTTACATATTTTCATGCCAAAGACACACATAGTTACTTCGTGATTGGTCTTCTAATGATACTTGACCCTCAAAACATGGGTTTAGACACCTTACTGGTGTAGTTATGTGCAATATTGGCCGAGATATGCCAAAAACATGATTTTCCGGTATTAGCGGCACTAATTTGCATATTCCTATGCCACAGACACATGTGGTCACTTCCAGAATAGTTTTATTGTGATCCCTGACCTTGAAAACATGGGTTTAGACACCTAGTTCGTTCAGTTATCTGCAATATTGGCTGAGATATAGTTAAAAATAGATTTTTCGGTAATGGCGGCACTAATTTGCATAAAAACAATACGTGGGACATTTTTTGAATTTTTTAACAAAGCAAATCGTTTTCTACGCATTTTTTCTGACCTAGAGACGTTGATTAGAAATTGATTTCCGAGGGTGCACGATACCCCCCTTTTCCGACTAAACTAGTATGAGTTCCTTTACGACTAGAAACCTTAACTTTGGAAATTTCGGTCCTGAATGAGAAGATAATCTCGATCAAAATCGGTAGCAAAATCGCTACATCAGAGTTCAGTGTTTAGGGGAGCATTGGGCGTCTGGCCGTACTACAGAGCTTGCGATAGTACTGTACGGCCAGATGCAGTCGGGCTAAGTATCCTGATGCCATTTCTTTGCTTTGTACACAATCTATGGAGAGTTGAGAGCATTTTTCAACACGTTCAAAGCATTTTCAAACAAAGTGGGAATGTTTCTCAGTCCCACTCCAAGATTAATGTTTTTCAACATTTTTGCAATGACTGACCAACATGTATTGAAACAACGTATGATGGAAAAAAGTGGCATCAGGTTGCAACATTCTTTTCTAGTTGGAATATGACAATTAATGATTATGAGGATTTCTCAAGATTGTCAAGTTTTGATGCGACAAGCATGACAAGTTCAACTTCAAAGTTCAAGTTGTGAATGTGACTGTGAGTCATGCACTCACATAGCTCTACTGAGTGGAGCGTTGAACTTACATGTAACTATACGGTACCCTCCGTATAAACGCTCCACCGATTTGGCATACAATGTACTCTGGTGACAGGTAAACGGTCGTCATGACGGTATGCATTTTGTGCATGCCCTCGCGAGGACAAAAGGCCCCAAAAAACTGATAAAGAGAATACAAATGAGAAAGACAGTAACCCTGGATAGATCCACACATTCATGACATTCCATAAGACCCCTTAAATTCTTCCAAACAACCGGTAGGCTAATTTTGAAAAAAGAACAAAATAGTCTGAACTTACCGCTCACAATTAAATGTGTCTGCCGAGTTGTACAGTCCATTTCACTGACATGACTGATGCATAATTCATTGCGCGTGTGTGTGACGTCACTATTGAAGAAAAACAAGTAAAGTTGCGCTTTATACTCAACAACTGTTTCATGTAGTCATATGTGCCCGCGCCATCTGACAGTGTGGGTTTTTGGCGCGGGAAACATATCAGTACATGAAACAGTCATTGATTAAGCGCGACTTGTTTTTCTTTAATAGTGACGTCACACACGCGTGCGATGAATTATGCATCAGTCATGTCAGTGAAATGGACTGTATAACTCGGCAGACACATTTAATTGTGAGCGGTAAGTTCAGACTATTTTGTTCTTTTTTTTAAATTAGCCTACCGGTTGTTTGGAAGAATTTAAGGGGTCTTATGGAATGTCATGAATGTGTGGATCTATCCAGGGTTACTGTCTTTCTCATTTGTATTCTCTTTATCAGTTTTTTGGGCCTTTTGTCCTCGCGAGGGCATGCCAAAATGCATACCGTCATGACGACCGTGTACCTGTCACCAAAGTATGCCAAATCGGTGGATCGTTTATACGGAGGGTACCGTATATAGTTGAGTTCAACGCTCCACTCAGTATAGACCCGTGAACGTGGCTTATATACATAGCCACACTTCAGTCTGTAGTAAAAACACTCTATTGTGATCCGCGGTTACTAAGATGGAGTGACCGTTCTAGCCGAATTTCGGCTACATTTGACAGAATATTTGCATACAAAAATGAGTTGTGCAGAAAATCAGCAGAATATTTTTTTTCGGCAGAATTATGAAGATGAAGGAAAAATGAAAAAGATTAGACAAATATGGCACATTTAGTTTGAAAAACCTTCATTTTTTTAAACATCCTTAAAACAAACCCTTGCACAATGAAACAGCAATATATACATGTACTGGGTGATTTGGCAGACCTTCGAAGTGAATTTAGCAGAATTTTACATGGTATTAAGGTCATCCTGCCATGTACATGTAAGACGGTTAGTTGGGTACCCACTGGTAATACTCCTACCAGTTGCCTACCGTTTTGCGTATGCGGAACTCGGGGTACCAGAGTGTCATGCCCGTCTTTGATTTTCTGATCATTTTGAAAACATTCGTTGTGACAAAGTTCAAGTTGTGCCGTACTTTACATCAACTTTCTTGGCAATGACAGATTCAACACACGCATAAAGGAAGCCCAACAAGTAAGTGATTCACCTATGGGAAAAATTATACATGGTTATATGTAGCGGATCAAAAGATAGAATGCTTTCGCTTGTATTTACCCGAGGGAAGCGCGTGGCATTGTATACATGTACAACACCACGTTCACGGGTCTACACACTCAGTAGAGCTAGCACTCACACGAATGTCAGACAAGTCGACCGTTGAGACAACTCGACTCGGGACAAGTCGACCGTTGAGGCAACTCGACCGTTGAGACAGGTCGACTGTTGAGACAACTCGACTCCGGACAACTCGACCGTTGAGACTGCTCGACTTAATGGAAATGAATACACGTGGATTAGCCCCACTAGTGTGGCCGTCGGTATGCTGCGCTGAACCCAAGGCCACACACCGTGGTCCGCGCACTACTGAGGACGTTTTCATAAAATCTGCAGGGAATTTCTTACATATGGTTGTATTCTACGATGTCCCATCTATCACTTCTGGGATGCTTAGGTGTAATGATGTTCAATTTTCCGAGATATTCTTGAATCTTTCTGGAGCCCATATGCACTCGTGAAACGTCCGGTGATGGCAGCCATTTTGAATGTGACAAGAGATGACCTCAAGCTGTGACGTCGCGTTTATGCAAATTGCTTGTCGAGCGAGGGCGCAAGTTGCAAATGTGACGGCTGTTTCCTGTACCATGCATTTATCGTCTGGGGGCCACGTGCACTGATCTCTATTCAGGATCTACGGCACAGGAAACAGACATCGCATAAATTTGCAACTCGCGCCCTCGCTCGATGTACTCGATGTACAGAGGGCGCTCCGATCCGGTGGCCGTCGCGTCGGGCTGGTGCGCCCATCCTGGCCGCGAGGACCGGGCCGGGCCCAGTACGCGGGCCCGTTGACCATGTTGACCGGCAAATGGGCGCACAGGCCCGGCAAAAACGATGCCACCGTGCTAGCCCCACTAGTGTGGCCGTCGGTATGCTGCGCTGAACCTTTGGCCACACACCGTGGTACCGCGCGCTACTGAGGACGAAGTTTTCATAAAAATTCAGGGCAGTTTCTTACATTCTCAGTTTCTTACTTTCTTATGGTTGTATTCTATGATGTCTCACCTGTCACTTCTGGGATGCTTAGGTCTAATGATGTTCCATTTTCCGAGATATTCTTCAATCTTTCTGGAGCCCATATGCACTCGTGAAACGTCTGGTGGTGGCAGCCATTTTGAATGTGACAAGAGATGACCTCAAGCTGTGACGTCGCGTTTATGCAAATTGCTTGTCGAGCGCGCGAGGGCGCGAGTTGCAAATGCGACGGCTGTTTCCTGTACCATGCATTTATCGTCAGGGGGCCACGTGCACCGATCTCTATTCAGGATCTACGGCACAGAAAACAGCCGTCGCATTTGCAACTCGCGCCCTCGCGCGCTCGACAAGCAATTTGCATAAACGCGACGTCACAGCTTGAGGTCATCTCTTGTCACATTCAAAATGGCTGCCACCACCAGACGTTTCACGAGTGCATATGGGCTCCAGAAAGATTGAAGAATATCTCGGAAAATGGAACATCATTAGACCTAAGCATCCCAGAAGTGACAGGTGAGACATCATAGAATACAACCATAAGAAAGTAAGAAACTGAGAATGTAAGAAACTGCCCTGAATTTTTATGAAAACTTCGTCCTCAGTAGCGCGCGGTACCACGGTGTGTGGCCAAAGGTTCAGCGCAGCATACCGACGGCCACACTTGTGGGGCTACCACCGTGCAAGGTACGGCCACGTTGACCGGGGATGCGCGCACGTGGCCCGGAAAAAACGAACGGTGTGCACGGACAATCACGCTGTGCTATATTGGCTCTGTTATATGCAACAAAAAAAACTCGTATGTCATTACTCCCAAACGGCGATCAGCCGCCGTCAAAATCCCTGGTACTTTCCCCAAAACTAGGCCCAAAACATGCGAGGCGACTTGTCTCAACGGTCGACTTGTCTTTTCCATTTATTGCACATACGGTCGAGTTGTCTCAACGGTCGAGTTGTCTCAACGGTCGACTTGTCCCAAGTCGAGTTGTCTCAACGGTCGACTTGTCTGACCCCCACTCACACTGTCATGGCTGTCGCTACTCCTAGAACTATGAGGCTCCGCGTGAGCGGAGCCTCATAGATCAAGAAGCCCGCAAAATTGCCTGCAGCACAAAACACTAATAAAGTACAAAAACGTCCATCAAAATGCAGCCATTTCACACAGAACCGCTGCACAGTTTGCCCCTATACTCCGTACTTTATCTCTTGACATACTCACGTATCTTGTGCGGAACTAACATAGGTGGATTCTGTCGGTTTTTAGTCCAAAATGATGAAAAATATGCCCTTTCCGCACTGAGCCAACCTGACACTTGAAACGTGCACGCATATGATCGAGCGATGATTTTCGGTTCGCTCGGAGCGCGCCGCGGGGGGTACGGTACAAGCGAAATGATGTGCATGCGTACAAGTGCATGTACCGTACCCCCCGCGGCGCGCTCCGATCATAATGCGTGCACGTTTCAAGTGTCAGGTTGGCTCAATGCGGAAAGGGCATATTTTTCATCATTTTGGCATAAAAACCGACAGAATCCACCTATGTTAGTTCCGCACAAGATACGTGAGTATGTCAAGAGATAAAGTACGGAGTATAGGGGCAAACTGTGCAGCGGTTCTGTGTGAAATGGCTGCATTTTGATGGACGTTTTTGTACTTTATTAGTGTTTTGTGCTGCAGGCAATTTTGCGGGCTTCTTGATCTATGAGAGTAGGCTGTCGCAGCGTCACTCAGTCACAGTTAAACATCTCAACTAACACAGATACGACAATAAACTCGGCACTTCCTTTATTAAATAAAGCATCACCGTTTCCAAATTATGAAATACACAGTTCATTCAGTCATTGTTTAATCAGCAATTAATGACAATAAACACAAATTCATACCCGTCATTTCCACTCCGTAGAAACGGTTCGACTGATCGTTGCGTTTCTTCACCGTTACCAGACGAATATAATAATTTTGAACAAGTTTGTATTTGGAAGTTGCCTACATGTACGTCTGGGTACCATGCCTTATGAAATATTCTGGCAACAGGGGGCGGTATTCCTAAAAGACCAAGAACCAAGAACCACAGACATGCGTTTATATGTCTGTGCCAAGAACCGGGGGGGGGGGGGGGGCACACCCCCATTTTCCCAGGCCAACAAAAGTGCCACTTTCGCCGTTCAAAAATGTGCCCCAGAAGACAACACTGCCCCTCAATTTCAAACACACACGTATGAAAGCATATGAACGCGCTCAGCAGGCGCGGTTCTAGAACAAATATTTGGGGGGGGGGGGGGGGGGGGGGCTAGCACGGTTTATCCAGATTTTTTTCTGGGAGGCGTGCTGAAATGTAGACCAGTTGCCTCCGAAAATCAATAGGTGGGGGGGGGGGGGGCTCATGCCATATTTTCAATGGGGAGCTTTCAATGGGGAGCGCCAATAAAATCCTAAAATCGTTCACACTATATTAACTAATGCACCCTTGTCACTCTATAATTTCTTCTTTAGGGGGAGACTGTAATTCGCATGTACATCACAATTCTTCTTTTTGCTAATGCAATTTTATTTTTTTACGGAATTTTTTTTGGGGGGGGGGGCTAGACAAAATTGTTGGGGGGCTACAGCCCCTCCTAACCCCCCCCCCCCCCCTACAACCGCGCCTGGCGCTCAGTAGCGTATCTAGCTTTCGATGTCGGGGGGGGGGGCGGGGGGTGGCAACCGCACATCCGCGCCGAAATAGACAGGCTCAGTCCGGACGTTTGGCCTCAGTAAAATCAAACAAGGGGGGGGGGGGGGGGGGGGGTTTGGTTAGTACCCATCTTCCAAATTGGGGCGCTATTCAAACGTGACCATTATTGTGCATATTGCAAATTTCATGCCCTTTTTCACGGTGCATTGTAATGGTTTTTGAGCGGGTTTTCTTTTTTGGGATTGATGTCAGAACTCTCTAACCATTTATTAAAATAATTGCTGAAAAATGCAAAACTGCCCGTCTTGCATGACAACAAGATTGTGCACCTACTTGCCGGAAGGAGAACTACCCTTAGAAACCACAAATACCTCTCGCATTAATACAATTGTTCCCCTCTCCGCTAGATGGGACATTGGCCATGAAAAACAACAGTAGGCCTGGTAAACTGCCCCTCGAAAGCACAATTAGGGCCTCGCTCGCAACATAAAAAAAATATGCCCCTCTCTGAGTGTGACATGGAGAACTGGCACTTAAAAAATAATAGTCTCTTCACACGAATAGTCTCTTCACTGAACTGGCCATCAAAAGCAACAGTGCCGCTCTCGCGATAAAAAAGGTCTTTCTACAAAAAGAAACACAAAGAGCAAGATGGTCAACGTAATCATAATTTGTTCCCGGCCTCGTCATATAGGTTCATAGCGAATTGAACGGGACCATATTATTCTTTTCTCCGCCACTTTCAATAAAGTACCCTTTTTCGGTGTTGTCCTCCCCCCCCCCCCAGTCTGGTTCCCTATCCCCATTGTCCATCGGACTTCAAATAAGGGAAACAGTCTATCCCCCCCCCCCCCCCCCCCCCCGTTTGAAAAAGCGTTCCGCCGCCCATGACCACGCGTCCTGCCCCATATCATTGCATGACCAGTGGCGGATCTGTATAGGGAAGTTAAGGCGGTACAACCATCCCTGGGGCAACAAAAATAGGAAATCATGCAGAGACACGTAGCACATTCGGCCTAGCTGCCCCCCCCCCCCACCAGTTTACACACCCTTGAGCCCTCAGTTGAACATGCTTAACTTACTCTCTTCGTGCTATTTTTGAGTTTTACTCCTTAAAAATATGTAGGTCCCATATACTTATTAAATTTCCTATATTGTGGAAATATTTATTTTATTCATGTTTGAACGAGGCATTGAACGAAAAAAAAAATCCCCCCCACAAATTTAGATATTGAATGAAATTTTCAAATGTCATTTGCGGTCCGATAAAAGTTACCTTCAACGATAGAATGATGCAAAAAACGTCAAGAACATCAGTAGTAGGGGAGGTGGGGGAACCGGAGCAAAATGGAAAAAATCTGCGGCAAGCCTGAGCACGCCGCTCTCGATTCTAAAAATAGTTGGGGAAAAATATAGGGGAATCCCCGATCTCAAAAAAAAAAATCTGACGCCGGGTGTGGGGGAGAAAAAAAAAAAAAAAAAAAAAAAAAAAAAAATCCTGACGCCGGGAGAGAGAGAGAGAGAGAGAGAAAAAAAAAAAAAAATCCTGACGCCGGGAGAGAAAAAAAAAAAAAAAAAAAAAAATCCTGACGCCGGGAGAGAGAGAGAGAGAGAAAAAAAAAAAAATCTCTGACGCCGGGAGAGAAAAAAAAAAAAAAAAAAAAATAATAAATCTGACGTCGCTAAAATGAGATGATGTCACCACCACGCGACCTTGAAAAATGTGTGAGTCACCACCACGTGACCTTGGGAATTTTTACTACAGTCAAGCTCTCATGGTTTATGAAATAATTGATCGCCCTCCAAAAAAAAAATGAGAAAAAAAATATTATATTTCTTATAATAAAATGGAGAGTAATATGTTCAGACCGACCGTCAAAGGATATTCTAAATGGAACAAAGCCACGCTGCGTGATTACGTGCAGCGGTATAATATACCGCACAATGAAAATGTTTCTCTTACTCGTAAAGTTTACATCGAGGGGATAAAACATTATGAAAGTAAATTTAAAAACTTGAGGAAAAAGAAACTTTATGAGCTCAAACAGATTGTAGACGAACACAATCTAGAATACGTACCGACGGGTTATAAAGGACGAGTTTTGAAAAAAGATTTACTCTCGGCGATTAAAACATACAGACAACCCGAATACTTTACAGAGTCAGCTTTTAGAGAAACGAGAAGGTTTAGAAATTACTACAGAAACTGGGAATTAAATCCCAGACTTTATAACCACGATTTAATCAAGTTTTTTGATTCGCACAAGGAACAAATAGTCTATAAAATCAAGTCTGAATTGAGAGAGCTCAGAGGTTTAAAAGTAGAGCTTGTATTAAAAATAAGGTATCGAAAAATCAAACCGGATGGTACAATCGAAACGATCGAAGCTATTCATTATAGCAAACCGAAAGCCGTTTTAAATCAAAGTCAAATAAAACAGGTTTTAAAAGAGGAGATCGAAGAGCTATTCAAAAAGGATGAAAGGTATACGAATCAAGGATCGGGTTGGGCAGTCGATACAATACTCGCGTTATACATCAACATCAACAGATATAATCCAGCGAGAGGTAGTTCTTACATAAACCTACCCGAACATCTTAAAATTAAACAGGCGATGATCAACGTACAAAACAAAGACGACGAGTGTTTGAGATGGTGTTTGAGATCTGCCTTGGGGTTATACACGGACAAAGTAAAAAATCAAATAAGAAATAATCCTAAATATAAAATCAACGAAAGCAGACCGTCGATTTACACCAAAGACGACGGACTCAGTTTTAAAGGCGTTGACTTTCCGACACCGGTCGATCAGATACCCAAGATAGAAAGACAAAATAATTTATCGATAAACGTATACGGTTATGAGGGTGAGATATATCCATTATACGTGTCTAAAAACTATGGGTCACGAGAGATCGATCTGCTTTTGATTTCTAAAGGTGACAAGCATCACTATTGTTGGATAAAATATTTTACGAGGTTGATGTACGACGTTACGAAACATAAATGTAAGAAATATTTTTGTCGAAGATGTCTATGTCATTTTACCAATCAAAACAAATTAGACAGACATATCGCCGATTGTAAGGGTATAGATGCGCATCCATCAAAGATTGTATTTCCTCTGGGTAAACCAAAATACATAGACGGGCAACCGGGTGAAAGAGACGTACCGATATTAGAATTTAAAAACTATAGGCACAAACAAAAAGCACCATTTGTCATTTATGCTGACTTTGAATCCATACTACAAACAACAACACCCACAGATAAAGAGACAAACACAAAAAAGATTAACGTTCACAAAGCTAGCGGTTATTCGCTAGTTGTCGTTCGATGCGACGCTAAAAATGTGTATCAAGAGACTTATAGAGGCAAAGACGCTTCAACTAGATTTATAACGACGTTGTTACAATTACAAAGCGATATTAATTGCATATTTGAAAAACCCCAAACCATGAAATTTAACGAGCGAGCTAAAGACCATCACGATAAAACAAACGCGTGTTGGATTTGTGAAAAACCAATTTATCCCAATTACTCGAGCAACTGTCAGTGCCAGAAGCCCAGAGAACCCAAGACGATAAAACAAAAGAAAGAATATCAGTACAAAAATAGTAAGGGATTTATCGAGTCTAAATGTCTCGACTGCAAAAAGAGCATTAATAAATTTAGAAAGGTGAGAGATCACTGCCACGTCACTGGTAAATATAGAGGTGCCGCACACGCCTATTGTAACCTCAAACTACAAATTAAACCCGGTTGTACACCGATACCAGTCTTTTTTCACAATTTACAAAATTACGACGCGCATTTAATCATGCAGGGAATGACAGAATACGATAGTCAAACAGAAATACAAGTGATCGCTAAAAATTCAGAAAAGTATATTTCGTTCTCGATAGGAAATCTACGATTTTTAGACTCGTTTAGTTTTATGGCATCGTCGTTGGATAAATTAGTGAAAGCTTGCCCAAAAGAGTCGTTTCAGCTACTCAAAAAGCATTTTAAACATCCTGACTTGCTATTACAAAAAGGAATTTATCCCTACGAATATATGAACTCGTTTGATAAGTTTCAAGAGACCAGCCTACCACCCATCGGCAAGTTTTACAGCAGACTAAAAGACGAACATATATCGCAACAAGACTACGACAGAGCTGAACGCGTGTGGAACGAGTTTAATATACAAAATCTAGGAGAATATCACGACTTGTACGTGACCACCGATACGTTATTACTTGCAGGCGTATTTGAAAACTTTAGAAGAACGTGCATTACAAACTACGGGCTAGATCCAGCCAATTATTACACCGCACCCGGATTGTCCTGGGATGCTCTATTGA